TTTTTTTTGCTTTTAAATGTTTGTTTTATTAAACAATTAATAGATGTAAGTTGTTACTTTATTTAAAAGGGTTTTGCTTAATATTATATTATAAAAATGTTAGTAAAGATAAATAATGATTCAAAGTTATTTATTCCAAAGTAATTTAAATAATTTTATTGTTATAGTTTATTATTTATTTTAGTTAAGTTTTGGTTTTATTTTTTTGATTTTAGTTAAGTTTTTTTTATTTTATTGTTTGTTATTTTTTTTACAAAAATTTTTTTGCTCTTTCAGGGTAAGTTTTTTTTAAGTTTCTTTATAGTTAAGATAATTTTTTCAGGGTATTTTCAAAATGTATACAAATTTTCAAAAAATTTTAACAGCTGTGGCCATGTTTTCAAAATCAAATATTATTTGCGTTATTATGGCGTGAAATCCTTTTTTGATTAGAGGTTTGCCTTTTTTTAAAGATCTATAACAATGCTTGATTTGTATGTTGAATAATATTGATAAAGTCTTGCACAGTGATTAAAAATGCATTTTCAGAACTTTAAGATGAACATTGTCTACTCTAAGATTTCTGTACATCAAGTTTTTTAATATGGACTTAAGCAACTGTAAAGTTTTAATTTGGATGTTCAAATTTAAATTTATTAATAACATTTAGGAGGTTTGTTGAATCCTACTTCATTAAAATTGAAACAAAATACTTGTTCAATGTACTTGCTAATATAGCTCCATCTGCTGTAGTTTGGTTTACTAATTTTTGAGTTTACTAAGTCTAATGTAATTAAACTACTTTTTGAGTTCTATAAGCCCATTGTAATGCTTTTAATGGTTGCTTTGTTGGCGTTTTACTGTCAATGTATGCATATATATATATCTATATGCATACATTGATATTAAAAATATTAGGTTTAAAATTTTTTTGAACAAAAAATATTTTTAGGGGTGCCTCAAGACCCTTAAATATTTGACAGGTCCCTAATATTTTGAAAAAAAAAGTTTTTTAAAAGTATGTCAGCCTGGTACTCAAAAGAAGCGAAATTATATAAAAACTTCAATAATAATGATCAATTTACAGAAAATTATTTTTTTCAGATATAATTGCCTAAAAACTATTGTTTTTGAGGTGATAATAAAAAAGTCAATATTTTCAAGTTTTTTAAAATAATTTATTAAACATGTTTTTTATGTAAATTGATTATTATTTTTCAATTTTTTATATAATTTCGCTTCTTTTGAGTACCAGGTTGACATACTTTAGAAAAACTATTTTTTTCAAAATATTAGGGACCCATCAAGTTTTTAAGGGTCATGAGGCACCCCTAAAAATATTTTTTGTTCAAAAAAATTTTAAACCTAATATTTTTGCATTATATAGAATACATTTAGTTAAGAGCAGCAGACTATTTTAAAAAAAGTTGTTTTTTGCATTACATATATAATCGTTTTTGTTAAAAATAAAGTATTATATAAAATAAATAAATTAAAATAAATTAATATAAAAAAAATATTTTTATTATAAAAAAATAAATTTAAATATGTATAAATAAAAATAGAAATAAAAAAAAAGTTAAAAAAAAGATATAAATATGATAAAAATAGTATAAAAATAGTATAAAAAAGTAAAAAAAAAAAAAAGAGCGGGGACAAAAAAAACATGTCTCCGAAAGTTGCGACTAAGATGCTATATATATCAGGGTTCATGGCACTCAGGGAAAACCTGGAAAACCAGGGAAAAGTTTTAAAAATTTAGAAAATCAGGGAATACCTGGAAAAGTGAGAATTAAAAAGAAATGTTGCTTGATTGATTCATTATTTTATATTTTAATATCAGTTTCAAACACATTGTAATCAACTTTTGATTGCAACCTGTTTCAGTTGTTTTCCTTGTTGGTTGGTTGCTTATATTGTTTTTTCAAACTTTGCAAGCTAAACAGATTAAGAAAAAAGATAAAAATTTTTAGACATTTTAAATCTTTCATTATTTATTTATCTTGTTTTAAGTAAGAAGCATCAATCTGCTACAAAGCCTGCTAGTTGTTTCTTTATTAACGGAAAAGAGTTGCATGCTGAACCACTTGGAAGTGATGAAAAAATATCCACTATTTTCACCAAAAAACAAGCAACTATTGTCTCTTTAATTAAATCATCGTTATCAACTAATGCTGAGATCATATGGGCCCTGAAATCTACAATGAGCTGCTACTCTAATAACTCATGTGCAAACTTTTAAAAAGATGTTTCCTGATAGCAAGGTAGCAGAAGATTTCACTATGAGCACCTCAAAAGTATCATACATTGTTAACCATGGACTAGCCCCATACTTAAAGACACTTTTAAAAGAAGAAATCACAAAGTCTGATTGTTACATTGTATCTTTTGATGAGAGTTTAAACGACATAACCCAAACTTGTCAGATGGATCTACTAGTTCGGTATTGGGATGGCAATAATAAAGTTAAAGTGAGATATTGGACATCAGCATTTCTTGGTCATTCTGCAGCTTCTGACCTTCTTACACATTTCAACGAAAACTTATCAAGATTTGATTCAAGTAAAATGTATCAAGTTTCCATGGATGGGCCCTCTACAAATCTGAAATTTCTAGATGATCTTAATAAACACAGAAAGGACAACGAGATGCCACAACTTATAAATATTGGAAGTTGCTTTTTGCATGTAATCCATGGTGCTTTCAAAACAGCTATCGAATCAACAACATGGAATATTAAAGAAACTTTAAAAGGGTGTTGGCAAATTGTTCATGATAGCCTAGCTAGGCATCAAGATTATGAAACAGTCACAGGTGCAACAAAATACCCTCTCTTTTTTTGTGGAACAAGATGGGTTGAAAGTAAATCTGTTGCAGATTGTTGCATTGAAATCTGGCCTAATATATGTAAGTTGATTGAGCTTGGGGAAAAGTTACCATCTTCGAAACAACCTAAATCAAAAAGCTTTTTAAATGTAAAAAAGGCTGTTAAAAACAAACTTATTACTTTAAAATTTGAAGTTTTCAGCTTTGTTGCAAGCATATTAGAGCCATATTTGTTGGCATACCAAACTGACAAACCAATGATTCCATTCATGTATTGTGACTTAGAAAGACTGTTACGAACCATACTGAGCTTGTTTGTGAAACAAGATGTTATTGATAATAGTTTTATTTCAGTCCAACTAAAAGAAGTTGATTTTCATAAAAAAGCTAATCTACTTAAAGGAAATCAAATCAAACTAGGGTTCGCAGCTGAAACAAGACTGGCTGTTTTACAAAAGAAAGATATAATAACCATTGCTGATATTCAAAGTTTTCACAAAGATTGCTCTAACATGTATGTTTGATTGATTGAAAAGTTCATGGACGGAACTCCACTAGGATCTATCATTGTACGCAACTCTCAGGTTCTTAACCCAAATGCAATGGTAGTAATGACTCAAAAAGATGCCAAGAAGAAGTATAAATCTTTATTGACCCACTTGATTAGCTTGAAATATGTTTCACCAATCTTTTCTGATAAAGCTATAAATCAATTTGCAGATTTCTTTTGAGAATCAAGGGTTTATCAAGACATCTTTCATGAACTCAATCAAGAAAGAGATAGCTTAGACGACTTCTATTTTAAAAAATTTAACCTAGATAAATATAAAGAGTTTGCATTGACTGTTATAATATTATTAACACTAAGCCATGGACAAGCCTCAGTTGAGAGAGGTTTTAGTATAAATGCCACTGTACTAGAACAGAATTTAATTGAAAAATCAATAACTGCAAGACGTTTAGTCAAAGATCATATGCTATCAAATAATCTTCAGCCACATAGTATTGAAATTACAAGCAAAATGATCATAAGCATAAAATCGGCACATGAAAGATATAGAAGCTACCTAAATTCAATCGCAGACACTAACAAAAAAGAAGCAAGTCAATTGGCAAAAAAAGTTGTTAGCGATGAAATAAAAGATGTTGAAACGAGGCGAGATCAACTGAAGAAAACCAGTGAAATGTTGCAGTTTGATTTGTAAAATTTGTTGAAGAAGCAGAGGAGAAGCAAGATCTAGGGTTAATTTCTAAAGCTAATGCGATGAAACAAAAAGCAAATGAAAAAAATGAAGAAGTAAAGAAATTAGAGCTAGCACTTAAGCTAGAATAAAGAAATTAGAGCTAGCACATCTTAAAGCAAAAAAGAAAGTTGCTAAAATAATATATTCGTTCTCACATGAAGTTTATATTTTGTTAACAAAACACATTAGTTTTTTCAAAACATGTATAAATTGTTATTTTTTTAATATATTTCTTTTAGTTAGCAGATTAATATGGCTCTGTTTCTTGTTTAAAACACCTTTAACGGATTGCTATAAATTAATTAAAAACAGTCTCTGATTTCTTAGAAAATAGTGATAAAAAGTATTTAGGGAACAAGGATTCAGTTGCAAAAGTATTATATTATTCAACATTGATAGGCAAAATATTTAGACTTTTCACCGCACGAACTCAGGGAGAAAATACTTAAAAATCAGGGAAAATCAGGGAAAACTCAGGGAAAATGGTTTTTCAAAACTGCCATGAACCCTGTGTATATATATATATATATATATATATATATATATATATATATATATATATATATATATATATATATATATATATATATATATATATATATATATATATATATATATATATGTATATATATGTATATATATATATATATATGATGTTCTTAATCAAGATGACAAGGATATTAATATAAAAACTTGGTGGCCAATTTTGACAAAAATTTAACTGACCTCACTATTTTATTTATAGTTTTTTATATTTTACGCTTTTTAATGTCTTCTTTTTTAAATGGTTTATTTTATGTTATTTAGTAGCGTTTTTTTCATTACTAGATGATGTTGCCCACAATCGGTCAGCGAAATATCGTTAATGTATATATTATATACATAAAATAATTTTGTTAATAAAAATAAAGTTTTGTTAGTTCTTTTATTTGTAAACCTTTTATTATTCAGGTTGATGGGTATTTAAGTCAAGTAGTATGCATCAATGAAGTTCTTTTGCGTGATCACATGAAGGTAGCGTTCTTTGGGCGCACAAGTAATGGAAAAAGTACAGTTGTCAATGCTATGCTTTCAGATAAAATTTTGCCAGCTGGTATTGGGCATACCACAAATTGTTTTGTTAGTGTTATTGGAGCTGATGGAAGTGATGCTTATATGGAAGACTCAATTACTAAAGATCGCAAAAGTGTTGAAGTAAATTATAAATTATTCATTAGTTTTTTATTAATTATTTTTTATCAATTTGTAATAATCAGAAATAACATATATACCTTTTTAACTTGTAAGATACTGTAAGATAGCAATTAATGTAAGATACTGTAAGATAGCAATTAACGTAAGATACTGTAAGATAGCAATGTTAGTTTTAAACTCTTTAAAATTCTAATAAACTCTTAACTATTGACCTTAAACTATTAAACATATTATATAACAATAAATTATATATTTTTAATGTTACTTTTTAATTCAATTTTAGTTATTTTAATTATATTTAGTCTCTGCAACAGCTGGCGCATGCTCTTCACAATAACAAATTAGATATTAGTAGTTTGTTAAATGTTTATTGGCCAAAATCAGAATGTCCTTTACTGAAAGATGATGTAGTGTTTGTAGACAGGTATATATATATATATATATATATATATATATATATATATATATATATATATATATATATATATATATATATATATATATCTTAATCTAATGGTTTTAAAAGCTTAAACTTTTTTTTTTATGTTAATGTAGAAAATGAAATAAGGTGTATAATAACATAATTTTTTTTGTCTTTTTATCTTGGTCTATTATTTAGTCCAGGAATTGATGTTACGCCAGATCTAGATTGTTGGATTGATAAACATTGTTTAGATGCAGATGTTTTTGTTTTGGTAGTCAACTCTGAGTCAACTCTCAACCAGACAGTAAGTTTAATATTTAGATTTTTAAATATTAATTTTATTTTAAAAGTTTTAATTATTTTTTTTTTTTTACTAAAGTAGCGCTAATTCTAGTTTACAATTTGATAAAGATGGATAAACTTTTTAAAACTTTTTAAATTTAATAATTTGTTTTATTTTTCATTTAAGAGTTTAATGATGTAATGTTGTTATTTTTAGGAAAAATCTTTTTTTCACAAAGTAAATACTCGATTGTCAAAACCAAACATTTTCATTTTGAATAACAGGTGGGATGCATCTGCTGATGGAGAACCAGAAATGATCAAACTTGTAAATTATTTTATTAGTATTGCTATTTATTTACTTTGCTACAAAGATTTTATATGTGTTTAAAATTTACTAGGTTCGCCAGCAGCACTTGGACCGAACAACAGAGTTTTTAGTTGATGAGCTGAAATGTGTTTCCAGAGTTGAGGCAGCAGATCGTATTTTTTTTGTATCAGCTCTCGAGGTTCGAAATAACTTTTGTAAAAAATGAATTAAATGTTAAAAGTTGAATTCATTAGGGTTATTTTTAAATTTTCTTTAGATATTACTTTTTTAATATTGTCTTTAGGTATTACTTTTTTTATATTGTCTTTAGACTTTTCTTTAGATGCTTCGATATAGAATTAGTCATAAAAATGCGAGATATACAGAAAGTCCTTTGATCGAAGAAGAAAATGCTGACACAGGTATAAAAATATAAATTAATTAAATGTGTCTACCAATCATTTTTATATATTACTTAACTTTATATGTTATTGTTACATTTTTTCATGCAGTAAATTAAAAAAATGACAAAAATTTGTATTGCTATATAAGAAATAAGCTATGACACCATTATTTACAATTTTTAAAATAATAACAAGCAACAAATGAAATAAAGAAATATAAAACAAAAATTTCTAAATCCTCACAAAAATACTTTTTTTTACTCAGTTCCAAATCCTGAAAACATAATTGCAATTTTTGTTACATTTGTTTAACAGTATTTTTTTTTTCAATGTTTTTTCTTTTAGGGTTTTATTTATTCTTTAAAACCAGTTTTAATATTTTCTATTTTTGGTTTGCATACAACATAAGTTTTACGTTTTCAAATACTTCTAAACCTTTGTCTAAACCTTTTATTTTTTTTTTAAGTTTAACATCCATGGTTTTTTATTTTCTGATTTAAATGTCATATTTTTTCATATTAATTTCTGATTTAAATTGATTTTAATGACATTATTAGTTGAAGCTATTCTTAACAAGATACTCTTCTTTGTGCTAATTTGATTTCCAGATCAGAACAGTATTTTATTGTTAGCTATAAATTGATTGCCATCTTTTTTTAGAAATAGAGTCATTGACTGTTACCATTGGTAACAATGTTTACTTTAGCTACCTTAAACATCTTTTATTGAAATTTTAAACTAAAATCTTTTACTTATATCAACTTAAAAAGAATAAAAATGATGAATTCATTTTTTAATTAATGCAAATGATATGTGATTTAAAAATAACAATTATCATTTTTATATTTAACAATCATTTATTATATAACCACTGCAAGGTGAAATATAAACCATCTAATGGTTGATATTCCATCTTATGGTGTATATTTCACTTGTAAGGTGTAAGTTTCCCATCTTATTGTGTATTTTATTTCCCATCATCCCTTGATGTAATTTAAAAATTATACTTAATTAATCATGTATAACAAATTATACAGTTGCCAAATAGTTAAAATAAATAAGCTATCAAATATTTAACAAAGTTTAAAAATGTAATTATTTAGAAAGCCAATTGTATTAACTAAGTTTGCATTAATTTCCAAGTTTGTAACAATTTTTTTTTTAACATAACAGTTTTTGCAGAACTGCAGCAATTTGTTTCATAGAACTGCAGCAATTTGTTTTAGCATTAACACTATTCCTTCCTATGCTTTTTAACTTGACAAATTGCTTTATAATTTAAAAACATAAATACAGTATTATCTTCTCAAAGAGCTAATGTCAAGTGTTCTTTTTTTCAGTATGACAGTGTCAGGCAATATCTTTTCAGTACTGAATAGATATTTAATTTATTGCATAGCAGTTTTACACCACTCTTTTATGTACACTAACTGATAAGTCAAAAATGACTAATCCTATTTAGTTTTTTCTAAGAAATGAGAAAGTAATGTTTACTGTGCTTTACAAATTTTTTTTATACTTTCATCTAACTGTTGAAACATTTTTAAACCATTTGGTTTTAGCTTGTTAAGTAAACTTACATCATTCATATAAAAAATCATTCATACAACTTTATCAATCTTCTAAGAAAACATTATGTTCCAAGTGGAACGCAATATTTAGACAATCTTTTTTTTGTCTTATTTTTATACTTATATTTTAATATTTGTTGATATAAAGAATAAATATGATTTAAATGTAAATAATGTAAAGTATAGTATAAATATAAACAGTAAATATGATATACACTGTACAAACAGTAAATATCCAATAGTCACATGCTAGGTTTAGGGGTATACATACGCATTAATTCCCCTATTTGTCGTGAAATCAGGTTCGAATCCTTTGACCATTCTTTTATGTGCTTTCGCCTAGCACCTCTTCACTCTATCACCTTTCTCTTTGTTCTTTATCGTTCTCCTTCTTCCCATGATTGCACTCTTTTAGATGTTATCTCTGATCAAATTGACCATGCCCTCTCTCTTTACCCCTCTGCCAATATTGTTGTTGTTGGTGATTTTAATGCCCATCACACTGAATGGCTTGGCTCTAACACCACTGATCCTGCTGGCACTGAAGCCTTTAACTTCTGCGTTTCTCAATCTCTTACTCAGATAGTTAACTTTGTGACTCGTTTTCCTGACAACCCTAATCATTTACCTTCACTCCTTGACTTATGTCTTGTCTCTGACCCTAGCTTATGTTCAGTTTCTCCCTTTTCTCCCTTAGGTGGTTTCAGACCATGCAATGATCTCTATAAATCTTTCTTCTCGTACTTCTTTTTTGGGCTCACCTTATCATCGCACCACCTACTACTACCCTAAGCTGACTGGGATTCCTTTCGTGATTTTCTTCATGATGGTCCTTGGGCTGATGTTTTTTCTCTCTCAGCTGACAAATGTGCCTCCTACGTAACCTCCTGGATTCAGGCTGGAATGGAAGCTTTTATTCCTTCTCGTCGGTTTCAAGTCAAGCCTCATTCTACTCCATGGTTTTCTCCTTCTTGTGCGGCTGCTATATCCAATCGTAACCATTTTTTTCATCTTTTTCAAAAGAACAACTCTCTTGAGAACAAACGGCTATTTATTATTGCAAGAAATCGATGTAAAAAGGTGCTTTCTGATGCTAAACTCCATTATTCTCAGTTCACTAAATCTCGCATCTTATCGCAGAAGTTAGGCTCTAAAGACTTTTGGAAAATCTTCAACAGCATTGTTAACAAGGGTAGATCTAACATTCCATCTCTCATTCATGGGACTGATCTTGTTACCTCTCCCAGGGATAAGGCAGAACTGTTTGCAAAGAACTTTTCTTCTAATTCCACTCTTGAATCTTATGGACATTCTCTTCCTTCCATTCCAGTCAAACAGGTTGACCCATTGTTAGACATTCAAATCACTCCGGCTTCTGTTGCTAAAGTCATATCTCAATTAAACTCGTCTACAGCTTGTGGTCCAGACAACATTCCTGTCACAGTCTTGCAGAATTGTTCTCCAGAACTTTCTTCAATTCTCTCTAAACTATTTAACAAGTGTTTGACTGAGTCTTGTTTTCCTGCTTGTTGGAAAATGGCATCTGTGGTTCCAATATTCAAAAACTCTGGAGAAAGTTCTGACCCCTCCAATTATCGTCCGATCAGTCTTCTTTCTGTTATTAGCAAGGTCTTTGAGTCTTTGATCAACAAATTCCTCACATCTCATCTTGAGTCAAATAAACTGCTGTCAGACAATCAATACGGTTTTCGATCCTCTCGCTCTACGGCCGACTTGCTATCTGCTGTAACTGAAAGATTTTATTGTGCATTAGATGGAGGCGGTGAGGCTAGGGCTATTGCTCTCGACATATCTAAAGCTTTCGAAAAAGTTTGGCATGCTGGTCTTCTCCATAAGCTTGCTTCATATGGTGTTTCGGGGAAAGTTTTTGAGATTATCAAATCATTTCTTTCTAACCGGTTTATTAAAGTCATCCTTGAAGGCCAACACTCTTCTTTATTTCCAGTAACTTCTGGGGTTCCCCAAGGTTCCATCCTGGGCCCTGTTTTGTTTCTTATCTACATAAACGATCTTCCTGACAACCTTTCATCTAAAGTAGCTCTTTTTGCTGATGACTCAACTTTATACTCCTGTCTTGACAAAAAGTCTTCTCTTTTCGATCGCCTAGAACAAGCAGCTGATCTTGAATCTGATCTCACTTCAGTAATTGATTGGGGTTCACAGTGTGAATTTCAACTCTAAAAAAACCCAATTGCTTACTGCAAACAACTACCGTAATATGGTCAACATTCCTATATTAATGAATGGCAATCCTCTTACTGAGTCGTCCTCTTTACGTCTTCTTGGATTATCGCTTACTACTGACCTTTCATGGAAACCATATATACAATCGATTGCTAAATTAGCTTCTGCTAAGGTTGCTTCTCTTTATCGTGCTCGCCATTTCCTTTCTTCTGATTCCATTCTCTACCTCTACAAATCTCTTATTCGTCCCTGTATGGAATACTGTTGTCATATTTGGGCTGGCTCTTCTAACAATTCACTCTCTTTTCTTGACAAGGTCCAAAAACGCATTGTAAATGTTGTTGGACCTGGACTATCTGCTAAGCTTGAACCTCTTTTCCATCGTCGTAAAGTTGCATCTCTTTTTCTTTTCTACAGATACTGTCATGGTCACTGCTCAAAGGAGTTATCATCTCTAGTTCCATCAACTAAAATTCATTCTCGTTTTACTCGTCATTCAGCTAAGTCTCATTCGTTTTCTGTATCTGTCCCTGCATGCTCTAAAAACTTTTATTCATCTAGTTTTTTTCCTCGCACTTCAATTCTTTGGAACTCTCTCCTATCTTCATGTTTTCCTGACTCATACAACCTTCAACTTTTTAAGTCTTCTGTCAACCGTTTCCTTGCTCTATAACTCTGTTCTTTTTTTTTCCTAGTAACTCCCAACTTAATAGTGGTTGCTTGCAGCCTTGTTGGGAGTGAATGCAAATAAAAAAAAAATATATAATATACATTATATTAAAAAACAAAACAAATGCACTATATAATAAGTATTCACCATAATCGAATTCTGATTCTAATGATGAACAGAGATTTGTCATTTGAATTGATTTATCATTTTGGTGAATTAATTTTGATGAAGAACTTCTATAAATCGAAAAAAGTTCTTTACAGGAAATGAATTTAGTAAATGAGAGCCAAAATTGTAATCAAACATATTTTCAAGTAATATATCATAGTTTTCTAAGTTCATAGTTTATACAACCATTATGCTAGTTCCTACAGCTAATGCAGTGGCTTTTATAACCGCTAATGGCTTCAGCTGATAAAATATCATAATGTATATTTAAGCATACAACTAATTGATTATCATATAAACATTGAGTATCGTTAGTTTTCTTATCCACTTGAAAATTGTTGTCATTTTAAAAAAAACAAAAACTTCTGAGGTTTAAACATGTTGAAAAGTTGCTGCCTAGCTTTATTAAAAAGTATGTTTTTTAAAAACATTACTTTTTAAATTTGATTTTCTTATTTTTTAAAAAGTTGATTTATAAAAAATATAAAGTGTTTATTTTTTTTATATTTTAGACTTCAAATTAGGAAAAATAGCAAGAAGACAAGAGTTTGAAGATTTTGAAACAAAATTTAAGGTTGTAAACATAAATTAAAAAATTTTTAAAAATATTTTATATTTAATTTTTTTTTTGTCAACTTGGGAAATTATTTGCCCTAAAAAAAGTTTTCAACTTTTCAAGAAAAAAACTTGCTGCATTACTATTGATTGGAACATTGTCTACCATTGCAGACCAAAGTTTATAAAAATTGTGTCAATTGTATCCTAATTATATTTTATTTATAAAAAAGCTCTTCTTAATGTATTCTAAATTTAAAGTTCTTCTTAATGTATTCTGTAATAGAGCATTACGATATATTTAAATTTAGATAATATAATCATAAAATTTATAACCCATAAATAATAGTTTTTCTTATTTTTCAATAAAAAATTCAATAAAAAGATAATAGTAAAATAAAAGTGAAAGATATAATTAAAAAGCAACTAATAACAATCTATATCATATTTATATATTTTTTGCAGTGTTATGGCTAAGTGCTATATAAATTCTAAACTAAATTTAAATTTTAAGGAATGCATATCAAAATCTGCAATCATCACAAAGTTTTATAGTCACGCGACTACAGGAATCACGATTTCAAAAGAAATGATTAATCATTTAGAACAGGTTCTTGCCAAAGCATCATCTCAAAGGTATGCTAAAAATTTTTTTTATTTTATTTTAATTATTTTGTAGAAATTTATTTGAGACATTTAATTTGTTTATCTGCAAAATATAAAAAGAAAAAAAAATACCTCTATTTTGTTCTTTTTGAAACAAAATTTTATCTATCTTTGAATTAATTTTATTATTATTAAGACTAATTACTATAAGATAATATAATAATTATTGATATAATTATTAATTTATTTATTTTTATTAAACTTCATATAAATCTGTAAATAAAATAATGAAATTGAAATTAAAATTGCTGACAGTGATGCGTGAAGTTTTTTAACAATCTCAAAAACTGAGGATATTTTTGAGAATTTCAAATAGTTTCTTTTCAACTTTTATTAAAGTCATCCTCGTAGGCCAACACTCTTCTTTATTTCCAGTAACTTCTGGGGTACCTCAAGGTTCTATCCTTGGTCCTAGGTCCTTTGTTTCTCATCTACATTAATGGTTCTTTTGTTTCTTATCTACATTAGTGATCTTCCTGACAATCTTACATTTAAAGTAGCTCTTTTTGCTGATGACTCAACTTAATACTCCTGTCTTGCCAAACAGTCTTCTTTTTTCGATTGCTTGGAATAGACAGTTGATCTTGAATCTGATCTCACTTCTGTAACAGCTCACAGTGACTTGTAAATTTTAACTCCAAAAAAACTCAGTTATTTACTGCAAACAACTATCACAGTACTGTAGACATTCCTATATTAATGAATGGCAACCCTCTCACTGGTCCAAAAGTGCATTGTAAACTTTATATATCATAAGATTTTGATTTTTCACTAGCATTTTGGAAGAATTTGTCTGATATAATTTAATACAACTAAATGTAAGGTTATGCATATTGGTCCAAAATCAATCAAATCGAATCATAAGTACTATATGTATACAATAACAGTAACACACAAGTCACCCAAGCTGTTACCCATATTAAATAAGGTTTAGGTAGATTCTGTTGCTATGAGAGCTAATTAAATTGTTACTGGAAGGTAGAAGATGAAGTATATAAATCAAGATAACAATTAACAGGCATCTATTGTCAAACTGATAGGATATTGCAAATCATATGAATCAGGAAAGCAAGATGAAGGTTGGAAATTCCAAGCAACTGATGTTCGAGGAAAAAAACTAGAAAAATAAGAGTTTTTAAAGCACTTAGGAATCACAGAAAAAGGATGAGACTTAATTGAATGACAAGTAACACTAGAATAAATTTTAGTAGATAGGACAAAAGACACTAGCTCTTTAGAGCAGTGCCCGTTACAGTATTTGTGGAAAAGAGAAAGTGAAGCAACATTGCAACAATGTAATAATGGTTGGAGGTTGGCTGCAAGAGCAAGTCCAGCTATGTTTATGATGCGTTTTTGCATTTGTCTATAAAGGTATGAGCATCATTCAAAGATTCGCTCCCTATATGGCATCAGTATTCTATACAAGGATGGATTTGATATTTATGGAGATAAAGAAAAGAATCGAATTAAAAAAGATTAGAATGAGCTATGAGAACTTCAAGACTTTTTTACACTCTTATTAGAGACATACAAAGGGTAAGAAATGGCAAACATGATAAAGAGATGCAATCTTAGCAGATGCTAATTTTGCAACTAATTTGATATAAAGTTTCCAAGAAAGATTGGAAGTAAGAATTAAATTTTAGAAGAGAAAGAGTAGATGACTTATTGAGTACATTTCCAATTATAAATATAGGAAGATTTAGATCATTATGATAATGATTATCTGAAAAAATCTTTAATGACTGAAACATTAATAGGTATGATAGGAATGACCATGTTTATATAATGAGTATATTACTACCTGGATATTAGTTGTGGGTTTGAGCTCAAAAAAAAACAGTCAACACAACAATACAAATTTTTAGATTAAAAAAAAAAAATTGTTAAATTAATCCTAAAAATGTTAATTTACCAAATCATAGCAATACTTGTCAATCAAGCATAGTTCAAGCAATTTTAAAATATTTAATCGATTGATTAAGCGTACTATCAAAAGCTTGTCATCACACAGTACGGCAAACAAAATACTTGGCCTGCTTTTCGTTTTTTCATCTATCAATGACTTAACTGTGTTAAACCCATTGATGCAACAGAGTCAGCCAAAGAATTGTTATCTACTTTTATCAATCAATCAACAGTTAACAAAGCTAAAACTAAAGCAAAGGCAAAAACCAAATTGATAAAAACATTTGAAGTCAAAACCCACTAATGTAAATTCACTTGAAAGCAAACTTGCTGGTCAAATTTGTAATGCAGCCACGTTCAACATTGAAACTCATATAATTGCAGCTGCTGAAACAAAGTTTGGCCTTAATAATGTAGCATTATTAAGTTGATATCAGCTGTATTAACAAGATCAAAACAGATTTTTAATAATAAATTAATTGTAAAAAAAAGTTAATTGTTTATAAGATATTAATAAGGTGTATATATTGACCATCAATTAGTAACTTGAATGTCAATGCATCATTATGTCAATTATTTACAGTTCCAAAGCAATAGTACTAAAATCATTTCATTAGCTAACCATCTGATTTTGATTTTTCACTAGCTTTCAATTTGTCTGATAAAATTTAATACAACTAAATGTAAGGTTATGCATATTGGTCCAAAATCAATCAAATCGAATCATAAGTACTATATGTATACAATAACAGTAACACACAAGTCACCCAAGCTGTTACCCATATTAAATAAGGTTTTGGTAGATTCTGTTGCTATGAGAGCTAATTAAATTTTTATTAATTTGTTTATAAATTTGAGTTATTTGTTAAAAAATTAAAGTTATTAATTGCACCACATTGTTTTGACATTCTAAGTTTTGCCAGAACATATCTGCAAACTAAACAGCCAAGAGATGACTGCAGGGAAATTCTTGAGCTAGCAGTCATGTTTTTTGAAGGTGTTCTTGAACATGGTATTCAATTTGAATTGCCTGGTGCGATGCTTAGGGCACAATAGATAGCAAAATTTATCTGCTTAATATCGATGTGGTTCTTTTGCAGTCAGTTTATGATGATTGCTTCAGAGGAGAGTGGTTATGACGCCTTTACCTACTCTGTTATCATCCACCTCAAAGCCTGAATGACAGCATCACTAACCATTTAAGCACCCCTAAATTACTTCACATTTATGTGGCAGCCTCTATGAAATTCTCATCTGACTATTTTTGTTTCAACTAGCAAAAAACTAGACCTTATACTGCTGATTCAGGTGGGAGGTGTGACGTCATACTGAAATAGCCTGCTGCCAGGGGCAGCAGGCTATTTTTGTATTGACGTCACACCTATTCTTCGTTTTCCTTCTTTGTTTTCTTAAAAACCTATATTGATTTAGATAAGCAAAAAAAGCAAAAAGATAAAAAAAGCAATGTAAATTGCAATATAAAATATATTATAATAAAGGAAAGGAAAAAAGTATCAGTCTCCAATCAATAACATCTTTAAAAATAGTATCTCTCTAATAAAATAGTATCTCTCCAAAATAAACATCTTACCATAGAAATCAAGTTTTACTGAGTTTTAAATATTAACTAAGTAAAAAAAAAAAAATTACAAAAAAATATTATAACTAACAAAATCTTTAGGAACAATGAAATATAACTTTTAACTAAAAAATGTGAAGAAATACGTCTTTAAAAGTACATCTTCTTTAAAACTGTTTATATGATTAGTTATAAATTTTTTAATTGATTAAATATAATTTTCTAAAAATTTATATTAATTTTGTAATTGAATAATGATAAAAGAAAAAACAGTCATCTAATTATAATACCTATAAAATAACTAAAAATAAATCGTAAATATACTAAATACCAAATAGAAAATAGTATTCTTAACATATAATTTAGAAATTCACATTAAGTACATTAAAAACCTTCACTAACAAATTTCATTTGATCACAAATTTAAATAAAACTTATTTTTTTAAAATCCTTAGATTTACAGAATAGATAAAAAAAATAAAAACAATCTTATCTGTTATAAATGCAACTTCAGTAAATTTTATCAGTTGTAGTTAAATAGTATAATTTTGATTGAAACTAATTGTACTTATTACTAATAAATAACTGATTTTTTACAGAAATTGCTGTTGCAGCTTTGCAGTTGTAGTTGTTGATATTGCTACTGCTACATTGAAAAGGATGTAGGTCCTACATTTCTTTGCCTGTAATCTAGGAAAGCAGCAAAAAATCTGAAATGAAAAGTATAAATGCATCGTATAATAAGAAGTATATATAGTGTAAAAATATTTTACACAGAGCAGTATATACAGTTAGTGTAAAAATATTTTACACAGAGCAGTATATGTAGTTAGTATAAAAATATTTTACACAGAGCAGTATATACAGTTAGTGTAAAAATATATCTTTATCATAATAGTATTATCTATTTAATGGAAACAAATATTTTCTGGGTGATCATATTATGCATTTCTTCGAAAGCATTTATTAACTATAAGTTTATTACTTTCACAAAGGAAGCAATAGAATTGAATTCAGCGTTTTACCCTAACATTGAGGTTCCAGTTTTATAAAAAACCAAACTGGTGCATAAACTCAAAGAATTTAATCAATAAGTATTACAAGCTCGTTAGAGCGAGGAGTATTTGCAACATACAAAGAAGGGTTTGATTTGCTATTGTCAGCCATTGAGAAGGAACCAATGGGCCAGGTTTTTTTTTCTAGGCTTTCTTTCACCTCAACTATTTCTTTTGCCTGTTATAAAGATGCTGTTGATCTTTGTTAATACAGTTTGTCACAATCTCATGTAGAACTTTTGGTAAGTTATTCTGTCTGACATCAAATTTGAAAATTTGCTAGTAACAATTTGCAAATGCTTTCAGTATTTTGCCACTAAATGCAGTAGGTCCAGAAGAGTTGCCCTCTAATTGCAATACTAAAATTCTCAATGGTACTTTATTAAAATGGAACATACACACTAACCATTTAACTGAATCATTGAATCATTGATCCAAAATGCAGTTCCAGTAATCTTATTGTACCATTATTCACACCAGTATTTATCCATCAGTGCCAATAGTTAACGCATTATCAAGTGATATTTTGTTTTCATTGAAAAAATCTATAATAGCATTCTTGGTATTTGTCAATATTGCACTTGATGGGGAAACATGGCAAGGAAAAATGAAATACGGGTTTTCTATGAATGTGATGTTCCTCGGTAATTATGTTACAAAAAAACTCTTGGCTAAACAAAACAAAACACAAAAAAACTAAACACAAATGCTATTTAAAGCTACAAATCAACATACCATTACTGCAACAGCAGTAATTGAAACTGAAATTGTTGTTGCAGTTTTGTAGTTGTAATTGATATCATTGCCCTTGCTACATTAAATAAGTTATTAATAAAAGTTAAAATATCTTAATTACTAACAATAATATACAAAACTACTAATCTATTTACCAAGTGTTGCAGCAGTTGTTGGTGCTGCTAATGCTATATATAGTCAATAAAGATAAAAAAAAAGTGTAGTAATTTACTATTTATCTAATTAGCTAAATTATATTATCAAATTACTTATCAAATTACTTAATCTAGTAATCTTTTACTAAATCCATTTAACTATTAAATTATTATAACTAAATAAAATATTTTTATACAAACTCTTCTAATTTTGATAATTATGATTATTATTACAAGAAAAATAAAGATTTTAAATAACATTACACTATCAAAATCTATCAAGATATCAAACATCAAAATCTATTATTACAGTATTAAATCAAAAAACTATAAAACTAAATCTTACAAATATATATACATATATATATATATACATATATATATATATATATATATATATATATATATATATATATATATATATATATACATATGTATATATATATATATATATATATATATATATATATATATATATATATATATATATATATATATATATATATATATATATACATATGTATGTATATATATATATATATATATATATATATATATATATATATATATATATATATATGTATATATATATATATGTATATATATATATGTATATATATATGTATATATATATATATATATATATATATATATATGTATATATATATATATATATATATATATGTATATATATATATGTATATATATATATATATATATGTATGTATATATATATATATATATATATATATATATATATATATATATATATATATATATGTATATATATATATATATATATATATATATATATATATATATATGTATATATATATGTATATATATATATATATATATATATATATATATATATATATATATATATATATATATATATATATATATATATTTAGAGCATATCTTCAGGCTGAAAGAGAAGAAGTACAAGACTCACTTGAGTATATGAGCAGCCAGTTAGCACTTGTCACTGAACAAATAAAATTAAAAATCAAAAACATCTCTGAAGAAATTGGACTACAGGTTTTTGTTTTAAATTTCAGGTTTAATCAGTAAGTATATTGTAAATAATAAATATAATACAAATCAATACTAGAAAATAATTTTAAATATTAAGTGAAATGTCACAAGTGTTAGTAAGTTGTTTTAAAATAAATACAAATAGAAATATTTAATAATTAAAGTTAAACAACAAGTTAATATTTCAATAAATGTTTTTTAGAGATTATTTCTTTTTAGTATAAAGATCGCACAATAATACATTAATAATTTACAATAAATATATAAAATATATAATAAAATATTATAAAACAATAAATACAAAATAAAATTCAGTTCTGTTAAGCAGTCATTGTCATTGTTTGTTCAACAGAAATATTCTTTTTAAATTAATTTTCTAGATTTTGACGAAACATCAATACAATTGATATAATAATAGTGCAATATTTAACAATATTAATGATATTTTGTATAATATTTAAATATATGAATTTACATAATATATAATTAAAGTAATAAAAAATTACTAATTTTTTGTCAAAATAATATATTTAATTGAAATGAGCTATTAAGAAATTTTGCTAGCACGACCTATATATTTGTTAACTATAAATTTGTACGAGCCCATATACATTTATGTGTAGCTAACATATTTTATGTGTACTTAACATATTTTATGTGTAGCTAACATATTTTATGTGTAGCTAACATATTTTATATCTAGCTAACATATTTTATGTGTAGTTAACATATTTTATGTGTAGCTAACATATTTTATGTGTAGCTAACAAATTTTATGTGTAGTTAACATATTTTATGTGTAGCTAACAAATTTTATGTGCAGCTAACATTTTATGTGCAGCTAGCATATTTTATGTGTAGCTAACATATTTTATGTGCAACTAACATATTTTATGTGTAGCTAACATATTTTAGGAGTTTTTTGAGAATTTGATTTGCTATTGTATACACAATGCTGCAAAATTCAGATACAAATGTTGTGTACTAAATACTACAACATTTGTTGAAACATGTAAAAATGTTATTTTTTTGTTCCACTATATGCACTATATTCAACAACATTTTTTGAAACATGTAAAAATATTAATTTTTTTTTGTTCCTTTTAAATTCTGTTACAAAAAAAAAAAAAAAAAAAAAAAAAAAAAAAAAAAAAAAAAAAAATTTTTAAAAACTTTGGCATATAAAATTTGCCGAATGGTCACACACGAGCAGTGAACGTCTGAGGGAAGAAATGAAGTACGTTAGAATAAAGGAGACCTTTTTTTTGAACAAAGCATATTTTGGCAGTTGTCAAGACAAAAATAAAGATTAATAGAGGAATATTTAAAAATAAATAAGACAGACAATACACCTAAAACAGTACTTAGCAATAATAATTAAAATAAAAAAGTAAAAAAATTGTTATATAAGCACTAATATGAACGAAGATATACAACAAATATATCACCAACCAAAAACTTTTAAAACAAAAAATTTATTACAAAATAAAAAGTATGCTAACAACAATGGAAGGCCTCAGAATGAAAATGGAAAAAAAACATTAATACTAATGTGTAAACATAATTTGTGTAGTGATTAAGTAATAAACATCTCCTCAGAGTTGTGTCTATTATTACTGGCGTTTCGATGAGGATCAGCACTTATAACTAGTTTATACCATCAGACAAACATCATCGCCATTTATACTTTACCCCGCGACTAATATGTTTTAAAAATATGAATTAAAAGTAACTTTGAGATCATATCTAAATCAAAATTTCCAAAAAGTAAAGTTTTCTCTATTTATGTTTTTATGGCAAATATTATTTTTTTCGCAAAAAAAACGCCAATTTTCCGCTAAAGTCTGCCGAAATGACAGAGTACCGCCACACCAATTTTTTTTATAGAATAGGCCATGATATGTCATTTGGTTCAAACATACACAACAAATTTTTTTATTCATTTGAAAATGTCAAATATTGTGCCAGATAAAGTGTTTTTGCAGGGTGTTCTGTGATTTATATGTAGCTAACATATTTTATGTGTAGCTAACTTATTTTATGTGCAGTTAACGTATTTTACAAGTTTTTTGATAATTTGAGTTGCTATTGTATACACAATGTTGCAAAATTCAGATAAAAATGCTGTGTATTAAATATTACAACATTTGTTGAAACATGTAAAAATATTTTAAAAATTAACATGTTAATTTTTTTTTGTTCCGCTATATGCACTATATACAACAATATTTTTTGAAACATGTAAAAATATGAGTTATTTGTTTGTTCCATTTAAATTTTGTTACAAAAAAAAAAGTCCAGAAAACAAAGAAAAGATTGAAACATAATCTCTTTAGATTTATATTTGGATAAAAAAAATATAAATAAGCTTATAGGGTTTCTTCACCTTTTTTCTTTTTCTTTTTTCTTTTTCTTTTTAGAGAAATTGCTCTTTTAATGGAAATACACATTTTTCTTTTTTAGTCTGTTCATTTGAAACTTAAAATTTTCTATTGCTGTTATAAAATTTTTTGAAAAAAAAGCTATTTAATTAAAATAAATTTATTAAAAAGCAAAACAATTATTATCAAAGTTATTAGAAATTACTTCTGCTACTAGTTCAACTATTTCAAGAGAAGTATGTCATTTAAATGTCATTTAAAATATGTATTTTGGCATCACTAGAAATCAAATGTAAAGAAATATCAATAAATACTTTTCTGATTGATCATTGACTTTTAATTCAGGCTGTTGAATCATTATCAGTAAACTGATCCATTTTTTTTTTGTTTAGAGAGAAGTGAAACCTCTTTTTGTCTGTTATTATTATTATTATTATTATTATTATTATTATTATTATTTCTTTGAGGATATTGTATGACCTTGAATTTTGACATGAAATTTCCAAATTAGTTTGACAAATTTTTTTGACTTTTGATATGCAAACTGCAACTCAAAAGAAATACTTTCACTTTCATTCATTTTGATACCAAAAAAACTGAATTAAAAGGTTTATATTCTTTCTTCGATCAAATCAAAAACCTTTAAAAATTAATGTGTTCAAAACTCATCAACCTCAAACAACAAAGACCTACTAGCCTATGCTATTGGCAACCAGCAACTAATTAATTGACTTAACCATTGGCCGATTAATCGGCCGATGGCATCAGTTGATTAATCGGCATTGGCTAATAAGCCAAACCAAATTGGTGCATAGACACACCTTATATATGTAAATTGCATACCTAATATTAAGATATTACCTTTATATTCATTACCTTAACATTAGCTTCAATCGGCTTTTGCTATTGGTGCATCACTAGTTTATATTTGGAAAAAATTTAAATTTGGTTTTGTTCTTTTCTTTTTTTTAAATGAAAAAAAATAAGTAAAATAAATAAAGAGTAATGAAAAATCCTCAAACCCTTAGACGATATAGCAGCATCTCTTGCATGTTCTCTCTATATCAGTCGATGTATGATGTGAAGCCCTGATAGCTCCTTAAATCAGTATGACGTCAGATTGCCAATCAAAATGTGCTTTTAAAATGTTATATATAGTATATTTATATTTTTGTATATATATATATATATATATATATATATATACATATATATATATATATATATATATATATATACATATACATATAGATATGTATGCATATTTAAGGTTTCAAAAGCAATGTCTGAAGAAATACGGCGTTTGGGGCATTTAGTTGGAGACTTTGATTATCCATTTCATCCTCATTCAGGTTTTTTGAAAAATTATAAACAGGTTATTTTTCTGTTGTTTTTTTTTTATATCTTGATTTGTTTTTTTAAACTTTGAATTTGTATCTTCAATTTTGTTTCTTCATTTATTCTATTTTATAGTATAGTATTATGTTCTTGATGTTTCAAATTGCAATTGATGTTTTTAATATTATAGGAGTTACACACCCATATAGAAAAAGGTCTGGGTAAAAACTTAAAAGCACGTTGTTCTGCTCCTCTTCTTGAATCAATTGAAGAGTACAAATCAGCAATGAAAGGTTGAAAAAAAGTTTTGTGTAATTTTTCATTATTCATTTTTTTCGTATTTTCGAAAATAAGTTGAAAATTTTCAAAAAACATTAAACTTTAGATAAAATTTTCAGTTTAATACCAGCCAGTGCATGTTCTTCTACAATACCTGCTACGCCAAAGTTTGTTTTATTTTTTTGACTTCATTTTATGTTTTATATTGCTAACTTCTGAGGTATGTAGTAGTTCTTAGAGTGTGCAATAATTCTGAGAGTGGTAGTTCCATGATCTATGTTGTAATCAAATAATGTTGTTGTCATTTTAGCCGTAAATGGTTGTCATGGTGTTAATGAGTTTTTATTCTATTTTAGAACTAACTTTTCAGTAAGTTATGAGCTTGATGTTCCAAACTTATGTTCTGATTTTCAAGAAGATATATCTTTTCAATTTTCTTTGGGATGGTCAAATCTTATATCAAAATATGTTGCTCCCAGAAATCCAAGGCTAGCATTTATGTTAGGAGCTACAGTAAGTTTACTTATATCATTTTTTAGATAATTTTAAAATATTCCACTTTATTGACTAGTTGGTTTTTTTATTTGTATTTTTCTTAAGTTTAAACCACACATGATTAATTTGCCTCCAGACCCTCTGGCTGTTACTCCTCACAAAAATCCAAGTGACCAAGCTGCCAGTAAAAATGACAGGTTAGTTTTTTTTTATTGTTTTGTAAAAAAATTGTTTATTTTAGTTTCCATGTTTGTGCTGTTATATCTTTTAAGTGAAAATTTGTTTACTTTAGAGTAATTTTTTATCTTTTCTAAGTTTAGTTTCATAGTTATTTGTTTATAAATCCATCACTACTTTATCATCGGATGTTTACAATAAAAGTTATAAAAAAAAGTGTTTTATGAATTTTTTATGTTTACATTGATGTATGTAACAATATACATTTTATTGTGTTTTAAGAGTCTATACATTTTGTTGTGTTTTTTAGCTCTTTGCTCTGCAATGCTCCTTTATCATGTGACTTTTATCATGTGACTTTTTTCTCTTTGAATATTAGTTAGTGGCTTTAAATTTATGAATAATAATAAAATAGTCAATAAAATAGTTTAATACAAAATTAAATCTTTGGTTTTACAACTCAAATAGAATTTTTGTGAAAATATCAAGTTAAAAGTTTATATTGAAATTAAAATAAATGAATTGAAAATTTTTTATACTCAAAAAATGTTGTTTGAATCAAATTTTGTGGTAAACATAGGTAACAAACTTTAATTTTTTGTTAAAAAATATTGAACAACAAAGTTTTTTTAAAAAAAAAATCATGGACCCTTGAAAAAAATTATTAATCTTTGGAAAAAATCATGAATTCTACTATTCTGTCTGAAGCTCTTATAAAGTAAAACAAAATGTCAAAAAATACTACATTTTGTCATTTGATCTGGCAGTGTCATCAGACAAAACAATATTTAAGTCCTAAAATCTATGATAAAAATGTTAAATGCAGTATACAGTGAACCACAATAACGGCCAGGTTAGATTTCTCCCCACATCCAATTTTTTTTTCTTATTAAGAAATAACATAGTATCTAAATTAGGTAAAGGTATTAGAAACTTCCATAGGAATAGCTAGAATTAAATTTTTTTACACATCTAAACTTTAGATAAAAAGAGGTAGGGGTGGTACATGGTTAACTTTATTGAAGTTCATATATTTCACATAATTTTATTAAGAAACCTAATTTTACTGTGTTCTTGTGTACTCCCTTATTATAAATACATTAAAAAATGTTCGGACATATTCTATAACAGATTACATAAGAAAAAAATGTAGGCATAAAAGCAACATTAAAATGCAATTAATGCATTTAAGGTAAAAAATATCTAAACCAAGCTTTAAAATACACAAATAGCATTATATTTTATATTTGATTAAAATTTTTCATGCTATTAAATTACTTAAAAACAACAATTTTAACATAGTTGTGGGTCAACAATATATTAATTTGAACTTGTTAACTATTTATTAAATGTTGAAAATTCCACAACACTTTACTTCAATTGTTTAGCATAGTCTGGGTGGCTTTGTCGTCTCTTATACTTAATTCATGTCTTTTTAAACTCATGATGAACAGATTTACCTGCTTGTTCAGAGTAAATTCCAAGTCCATTATCAGTATTGGTACTTTTTAGAAATGGTACAATATGGTTAACTGCAATATGAACTTTCCACGGTATATTCAAAGAAATATTATTGAAGTAAGTATTAATATATTCCATTAAATTAGCAAAAGACATCTTGAAATTGAAAACAACAGATTCACTATCACCAATAGTTTTTTCTCCAAAGGTAGCTTGCTTCATTGCTTGAAACCTCCTTAAACATTCTATTACTGGCAATAATTCAAACTTTCCTTGATCAGCAATATCACGAGCAAGAACATCTAACTTATCTAAAAGTCTGTTGGCATTGTTGCCATCAAATCCAATGCCATGGTAACTTCTGAAAAAAATGTAATTTGAGTTTAACCACTTTTCAAAGCCAGGCCATAGTTTTGATAATAGTTTTCCAAAAGTTGTAACTATTCCGATTAATCTCTGCAACTCAGGTTCTGGAACTAAATTTTCTATGATTGTGTCTGGATCCTCTTCAAGATATAATACTCTTGGATTAATAAAATTTTTATAATCAGCCATCTTTGATTTTCGTTTTCTAGCTTCTGTGTATTTACTGTAATGATAATTGAAGGAACGAAGAGTTTGTTTTTCTCCACCATCCAAAAGAGTCTCTCCTTCACACCGCAAACAACTATATTTTCCAGTATGGCATGTATGCCAAACATTAAGTTTGCACACTTTAAATCAAATTGCATCAAATGCAACAGATTACTTAATATTTTGAAGGTTAAGAGTGTCAACTAATTTTCTAGGATTTCCATTGTGTTCAGACACTCCTTCTACAATAGCAACAATAAAACAACGCTTAACTCTAGTTTCCTCAAGGTCAGGTTGGTTGCTATTTTTATCATGCGGATTAAAAACATTTATAGTGATCTTTAAAAAACCTTGGCCAGAATCCACAGCAACTCTTACAATTGTAGAAAGAGGATCAATATTCCTTTCAGTGTTTCTATTATGTATAAATTCATCAATATCCTTTATATAAACCATTGATTTATTTACTATAATGCCAGCTTCAAAAAATTCTTCTTCTTTACATGAAAAATATTCACTTCTGCTTTTAAAGCCTCTAATTTGTCAATAATATTTCCTTCTATGCTGCTTTGAAAGCCAAGACATTTTTTTAATATTGAATACATTTTTTTGGTTTTACACTGAGATAGTTCTAAACACTTTATAAGCTCAATGGTTGTTCCAAAGGACACTTGACTAAGATTAGCATGATCAAATTTATTGTCCGTAGTTCCAGCTACAATGGTTTCCCATGAGTAGCAATTGTGAATTTTTCACCTAATAATATTTTCCTTTTTATTTTTGTTTTTAAAACACTTGAAGTGACACATTCTGCACTTGCAGATCCCAATGCATATGCTGCATTAACTAAGTTTTTCACAGCTTGAACATCAAGACAAAGATTAATAAAGTCCTGATTAAACAACTCCACAACATTTTAGGAACATCAATTTTATCTTCATTTAACTTAGTAGTAATAATGTTAATATCTTTTGATATTTCTGAAATATCTGAAGTTCTTCTGATATCTTGACAATTTATCCAAACAAATAAATCTAAAACTCTATAAACTAGTAATATAAAAAATATAACACATTAATAAACACATCGATGACATATTAATTCCTATATATAAGAATTTTAAACTTTTTTTGTTATATATAACAAGCTGTTTAAAATTTTTTAAATTTATAAAAGTTCATTAAATCATTCAATTAATCAACAAAAATAAAGAGCTTAGTCTCAATGAATCATTGAGACACAGCTCTTTTTACAAAATCGATAAAAATAAAACTTTTAAACACTAAGTCTTAAATAAAGATTTTTTTTAAATTTAACAACTAACCTGAGAAATTTGCTTCTTGTAAAAGTTCTTGTAAAAAATAAAAACTTTTACAAAAAGGTTTTGTTGTTTCTTCAATAGCTTTAGTTATTTTATGAAGCTTTGCTGACTTTTTACCAAAGGTTTTAAAACAAACAGCACATAAATTGTTGACCGCCATTTAGTAAAACTCATTGTGCACCAGAGTAGGTTTAAAATCAAAAAAATGCCGGTATTTGATTAGCAAATTATATCTATTTTGTTGAAAATAGCGGAAATTTTTAACTAAAAACTATAATTTTTATTTTTTGATTTTCATATATTTTTCCATTCCCCTAGAGGTTTTTACTAACAAAATATTTATTTTCATATATATAACTAAGTATATATAAAAATCTTAACAATTAACCAAAATAGTTAAATGTATTTTCAGACTACTTGTCAAAATGTACCTTGATAAAGCTTTATTTTAAAACTAGTTTCCAATAAACAGAAAAATATCAGCTTATTTTTTTTTTAAAAAAAAGAAGTGTTTTTTGATGTTTTTATCATGATCGGTTCTTTCATTATTTTTTAGCATCAGTGAGATCTTTTGATATTTCACTGATGCTTGATTTTTTTATTGATGTTTTTTTAGTTACATTTTTGATGTTTCATTGATGCTCCTACTGTTTTTGAAGTTTTTCTCCTTAATTTTTCATTTTCTAGTTTTTCTGATTTTCAATTTTCTAATTTAAATCATAATTTTCAAATTTTTTTTTTTTATTAGAGTAATATCTATCCGTCAGAACTTACCAGACCCTTTATTGAATTTTGATGATGATGAACTTACTATGGCTGTTATACAGGGATTGAGCAGTTTGAGCTCCTCTACTGCAATGGCATTTGTTGTTGCTGTTAGCCTGGTGAATATTTTTATGTTATGGTTTATAATTTTATCAAAAAACACAATTACTTTGTTACTTTTTTTTTTCCAGGCACTGGTACATTCAATATACTAGAGGACTTGAATTTTTGTCTGGTGCCACTATACTACATTTTTTAAATCCAAGCTTAAATCCAACTAAATTTTGAGAAAAAATATTATTTGCTAACATTAATTAAAATAAGTAACATTAATTAAAATAATTAACATTAATTAAAATAATTAACATTAAAATAATTAACATTAATTAAAATCAATTAGTCTAAATACTTCTTAAGATAATTTTAATAAGCTATTCAGATATATAGCGTGCAAACTTTTCAGATATATAGCGTTCAAACTTTTCCAATATTGTTCACCATTTCATTTTCAATAATCTGTAAATGCAACAACTTGCAGCTGGCACAAGTAAGTTAAATTATTTGGAAAGCATATGAAAGCAAAATTCTTTTTCAGTATTAAATTTATAATTTTTTTGGTAAAATTAGTAAGTAGGTTATAACCTGTTATAAAAAGAACTCTCAAACCAATCCTAATATACCACTGTATTAAACTACTTGTATTTTATTTATTTAACACCTTTTTACCCACCATGTGTCCAATGATTTCATAAATGCTAAAAGGCTTTCATTTTAAAACATTTCTGATTTTTTGATTTTACTATTTTAGTTTTTCAGTTAGGTGGCAAAGATATATGAGTGAAAAAAATGTTTGCGTTCTATTTACTTTTAAAGTCTATAAACTTAAAAGCTTAAAGTATTTCTTTATGGTTTTTTTGAATATTTACCCAGCACAACTTTTGTAAGTTTATAGAGTTAATATTTTTAAGTTAATTTAAATATTAAAACAAAAAGACTGCATTGATGATTTCCGTTGATAATTTTTATAATTTCTGATGACCTTGGAAAATCATTGAAAGCATTAAATTTAAGTGATCAAAAAAGTCCACCACAACTCAACAAAAAATTGTCAATAATGAAACTATTCAACAAGAAATATAAATAAATCTAAAATCTAAAGAAGTTATACATTAGTAATATTATTATATTATTAATATATTAATAATATAATATGTTAATATATTTTTAATATAATTATATATTGTTATATTAGTCAAGAGGGTAAAAAAAATATCAGAAAAATATATAAAACTGTGTTGAGGTTTTAAGTGAGTATGGTTTTGTTGTTGGAAAAGATTATATTGTTTGCTTTACAATTGACGATACAGCAGTTATGCATAAAGTAGGCAAATTTGTTCTGACTGATAAGCAGTCAGTACATATTTGTGTTTTGCCTGTACAATTTTTTTTATTTTTATGTAAATTCACTTCCTCAAGGTTTTAAAGGTCATTACAGTTGAGGAGGCTTCAACTTGCAGTTGTAGATGTTCTATATAAAAAATGGTTTTTCCTCTGGTTATTAGGGTGCTTCAAGAAGATTTGTCAAGTTCTTACCTCTTTCTTTACCAATATCCCAAATAAGACCAGAGCTGGCATCAAACATCAGATTGTTGAAAGAGACAAAAATTTATTTAATCATTCACACAAAAATTTATTTGAGCTGAATCAAATTCAATTGACCTAATTCAGATAAAGTAAACAAGCAGCCCAATCACTGACTATGTATATGTTTCACAAAAATATTTTCTTAAAATTTATTTTAAACTTAGGTAGTCAAATTGCTTATTATTCCTAACAAATGATTGCTACTAATACTCTTCTTTTCTCAAATTTATTCAAAAGCTAAATTGTACAAATGAAGCAAAAAAAACCAATGTTTAAAATTTCATTCAATTTAATTTTCAAACAGATTAAAGAAAAATCCTGGCGCAAACATCATTTTAATTTATTAAAATAAGACTTGCATCAGGATTTATAACACACATAATTACACATAATAACACTTTATTAATTATAATATTAAGTCCAAGCTAAATTTTTAATTATAATATTAAATGTGTTGATGTTTTTGTTTAACATAACCTTCATAGTAACCAGTAAAGTTTGGTGGTATTTATGAAAAAAAACAAAATAAATATAAAAAAAATTATTGAAGTTTTTACTATTTTTTCAAATTGGAAGTTTTGTTTTTCACAACGAATATGAAATTTTTATTTATTTCAAAACTCAATTTTGTTATTATACAAATCCCCCATCCCCCAAAAAAATGTTTATTTATATATATATATATATATATATATATATATATATATATATATATATATATATATATATATATATATATATATAGAGCTTGTGATAAAGTGGCACGATCGCTTTCTTTACCTGAAATACACCCGTAAACAGAAAATATTCAAAACTTCCAGACGCGGTTAAGCTAAGCTTATAATGAGAGGATAAATCATGCTCATTCAAGAGTTTAGGATGGAGAAAAAAGTTGTTTAATTGATTTTTTAGAAAATATTGTTGATAAAATTTTTTTTTTTAAGACAAAACTTGTTCAATTTAACATTAAAATTCTGTCTTCCTTCAATTACCATTAATATAGCACTAATATAAAATATAAGTATTACGCCACTTGCTTTAATCTAGAATATGTGTTTCTGTTTTGCACTAACATAATAAATGAACAGTTTGAAGTCGTTACAGCTAATTTCTAGAATGGAATACTATTTTCAGCAAGCGTACTTGGAAACACAATGTAAGTAAAAAATTAAATGCGAATAGAAAATTACTATAAAAACACACTGAATAAAAAATATACTATAATAAAATAAAAATTTTTTAAAAATTTTGTAAAAACGTCAACAATTTAAACAAATCAACAATTTATTAAATTTATCATTTAAAATAAACATATTCATAGAAAAAATTTTTTAAATTTGTTTTTGTATATTGTATAGTTTTTTTATTAATTATTATTTTTCTTAAATTAAATTTCTCATGTATAATCTCTTGATTTTTTAACGATAAAAAAAAAAAGAGTATTAAATATGAACTTATGAAAAAATTTAATTTCGTAATTAAATATCAAGAAATACAAAAATCGTTAACTGTTAATTAAGTTAGGAATATAATATTATTAAAAAAATATATCAAAGCAACAAAAGCAAAAATTTAAGTCAGCAATTTATTCTTCAATACTGAATCAATAAAAACTTATTAGCACTTGTGTTTTTGTTTGGTCGTGTTTTTGTTTTAACATGAATAGTTTTTAAAAAATACGATCAGTTGCCAACAATATACAAGAAGTTGGGAAGTATAAAGAGTTGCTTCCTTAACATAGTTTCATGGGACTTCTGTTAAGTTCTGATCCATTTTGTTGAGCTTTGCCAGAAAAAGGCTCAAATAAAAGTAATCATTTTTCCATTTGTTAATGTTTTTTTTTATTCTATATTTTTATGGATTTTTTTGGGATGTGTTATTGATATTCATATTATTATTATTACACATTATTATTATTCATATTATTATTATTACATATGTTTTTCAAACTGATTAAACCTGATTACACAGGTCAACAAAAAAATTTTTTTTTGTTGCTGAGCAAACAATTAGTCTTTTTTATAGCATTTCTCATTTTGATTTCAAGTATGCAGTTCATTTTTCACCATCACGTCAAGGTGTAAATATATTTGGGTTCAAATCTTTAGTATTTGGGGTAAAATCCCTAATATTGTCAAAAAAAAAAGTTATTCAAAAGTCAACCTGGGTCTCAAAAGAAGCGTATTTTTTTAGAGAATTTAGAAAACATAAATATTATTCCCTAAAACTTATTGACAAAAAAATTATGTAAAATAATACTAAAGACTCTTAAAAATATTTTAACAAAATGTTTCTCAGCAATAATATAAAAAGTACTCATTTTTATTACAAACGAATAACATTTTTAAAATGGTCATTAAAAAAAATGTTAACAAACAGAAAAATGATTACTTTTATTTAAGCCTTTTTCTGGCAATGCTCAACAAAATGGATCCAGAACTTAACATTTTTAAAATCTCTATGAAAATATGCTTTATTTGGAACCCAGGTTGACATACTTTTGAATAACTTTTTTTTCTACAATATTAGGGATTTTATCCTAAAGGTACCCAATGAAAACTATAATAAATAAATACAAATAAACCCAAATATCTTTTATACTTGACGTGATGGTGAAAATTGAATTGCATATTTGAAATCAAAATGAGAAATTCTATAAAAAAATTAATTGTTTACTTGGCAACAGAAATTTTTTTTTTTTTGTTGACCTGTGTTATTAGTCATTGGTTATTAGGCTAAATTAAATTTCAATATAAATTGCAACAATAGAATTGGTTGTGGTTTTTGAATTTTTTGAACCTTACTTTGTAACTTCAAATTTTATTAATATTTTTTTTATTCAATTATTTTCCTGGCAATTTTCAGTTTTTATTGTTATTTAACTTCATTAATTTTTTATTTATTATTTTCAGTTTTCAATAATTGCTTTACTCTACATGCTTTTATTTTTCAATAGATTTTAAGTACTTTGCAGCTAAAGTTAAAATTTGTTAAAAATTTATTATAACCTTGGTTGTAAGAGATCCAAAGATAAATTTTATTTAAATAAAATCTTATATGGCATTTTTATAAATTGATTTTATTTTACAAACAAAGATATATGACCAGGGACTAAATGATTCTAATTTGTATGCTAATTGAAAATATTTGGAAATCCAACAATTGTGTTAGCTAAGTTTATTTTATAGGTTTGGAAAGCAGTGGGTTGGAAATTGGTTGCACTTGGTGTTTCAAGTTATGTCACAATATATCTTTATGAAAGAGCAATGTGGACCAATGCAGCCAAAGAGAAGACTTTCAAAAAACAAGTAATAACTTTGTTATACCAATTTGTATATAACTATCAAAGAATATCTCGTACAGATAAATATATATATATATATATATATATATATATATATATATATATATATATATATATATATATATATGTTTCTGTATATATCATATATATATATATATATATATATATATATATATATATATATATATATATATATATATATATATATATATATATATATATATATGTTTCTGTAGCATATAAATCTATATGTATGTGTATGTGCAGTATATGTAAGGTAAAACTGAATTTGAAATGTTTCTGAATAAAAAGGATTTTTTACATACTTTTTTATATCACATTTGGACCACTCTTTCAGTCCCAGCAATAAGCCTTTATTTTCATTTGAGGGCCATTTTTGTGCCTTTTTTTAGTCAAATCCAGGGACTCAATATTGTAAAACTAAAATTTTTTGGGCAATTTAATACCCAAAAAGTTTAATTAAAATCCAATCTTAAGCATCATTTGTTTATATAACGGGTCAAACAACTGTATTTTAACTGAGGCTGGAAGTATTATCCAATAGGAGGAACAGCTTTGTAAAGTATATTCCTTTCATCAAAATTCTAGCATAATGTGCAGGTCCAGGCTTTTGGAGTTTGCTCTGCACATCTCAAGTAAGCACCATTACTGTGAGTTCAACTAACTCAGGGTAATCAGACCTGCACCCATTTTAAATATAAATATTTTAATAAAAAGTAATTAATCAAACCTTATTTTTTGTGTTTTCACTTTATGTAACAGTTAAAACAGCCATAAAAAATTAAGTTTTATTTATGATACTAATCATTTGTTTAATATTAGGGCCCAGGAGCTATACACATTAAACATGTTATTATTATTCAAAGCTGTGATTTACTGGATAATGGGCTTTTAATTATTTTGAAGCTGCTTAAACTATGCCATTATAACTAATTTATAGATTAAAGTACTGACCTTCTTCATCTCTTCCATCTTTATAATATTGATCCTGCAACCAGCTGTAAGTAATATCCTCAATCTTCATTTTGTTTAATACAATAGAATCAATCACATCCAAAGAATTCAAGACAAGCTTAAGCTTTTTAAACAGAAGATTGTCTAGATCATTTGTGTTACTGCTTGAATAGATGTTCTAGCAGTAAGTGTCTTCTAAGTGTCTTTCATACATATGGTGTCTGCATGCTAATAAGAGCAGAGGCCTGTTAACCTCTGTAGCTAATTTAATGTATAGTCTTTTCTGTTTACCAGTGTTAGAAATAATATATCAAAAATATATTTGTGAAACTTGTTAGTAATCTCAAGTTTGTCATGAAGTTCCATGATTGCTGTTTTCTGCTCCACTCCTGTAGTTGAATTGAGAGGTGGAACACCATAGTAGTCCTGTCTTTTCTAATTTACTTATCTTGATTAATACAGCAAGTCTGTTTCTTCTGTAATTTTTCATATATAACAGCATATGAGAACCTTTGATTCTTTGTTTGAATTATTACCTTCCGTTTTCCCAACTAATCCAAGATGAATGCATTATCTTCCTCTTTGACTACAGATGTCAAAGAAAGTCACGAAAGAAGTTCTTTTTTGACTAATTTATTGCACTCTGAATTTTCACTCTATACATTTTAAATTGAAGTGAGTTCCCATTTTAAGAAAAATGGACTTTTAACAATTAATTTTAAATAAGCAATTGGACTGAAAAAAAGCTTTAAAATGATCCTAAAATTAACTTCAGACTCATTGCAGGGACTGGTGTATTAAGCATAAATTATTAACCTGTTTCCTACTAAAATAGGAAATAGGTTAATAATCCAAGAACCATTAAATATTTTTTAAACAGGGCATGATAAATTTATTTTTGTGGATAAATAAATAAAAAAATTCAAATATTTAAAAAATCTGATTTTTTATCTCTTTTCCGGATTAATTTAGTTTACCGGTAATAAAGAATTGTAAACAAATAGATTTCTTTATTGGACATTAAAGTATGTTTATTTATTATAGTGGTTTGATTTTTATAACTATAATAATAAAAAAGGTTTTAGGAGAATAATGGTTTTTACTTATAAAAAGAAAAAACTATGAAAAATCTTTTTTTTACTCTTTTTGCTTTTTTTGACTCTTTTTGCTTTTTAATTAGTTTAATAAATCATTCAGTTGATAATATATATGTTTTTTGTTTTTTTAAATGTTCATTCACCTCCCCAAGGCCGAGAAGGCCACTACTAGGAGAAGGCCACTACATTTGAAGAGGTGAGGCCACTACATTTGAGGAGACTACTTTAGTTGTATAAGTATAATGCAGAAGTTTGATTTTTATCATAAGCAATTGAAAAAGTATCAAAACCATGTGTTTTTTTAACCCTAAAATTCCCCCTGCTAAAAATTTTATTTTTTAAATTTTTTAATGTTTTTTTAGTTAGCCTAATTTTGTGAAAAAGCATTTAAAAAGTTAAATTGGAAAAATCTTTAAGAAATAAAAATAAAGTTTTGTTTCTGCTTAGTTACACATATTGTGGTGGAGTGGTTCAAATGGAATTAAAAAGAAATTTAAAAAATTGTATTGTAATATCTAGGGTGGGGCACCATATGAGAAGCAATATTACAGGGTTATTCATTCTTAGATGCGTATCTATTCATTTTTATATGCGTATTTATTCATTTTTATATGCGTATTTATTCATTCTTGTATGCATTTTAAAAAGCACAGTTTTTTCAAAACAAATTGTTCTTGTTTCCCGGTAAACAAGGTTAAAAGTACTTAAAAAGAAGACTTTTTACAATCAATGATGGTTTATTTATTTTAGTATTAGGTCTTTGTTAAATTTTATTATCAAACTTATTGATTAATTAAATTATTATTTATCTAATTATTCATTTATCTAGATTTAAATTTAATTATTTTTAATTATTATTAATACTTAAATATTTACCCTGGAAATATTTACCCTGGATGGAAGAGGAAATAGCAGTGCCAATCGTAAAACAAGGAAAAATGTTACAAAAGAGCACATTGAAATGCTTAAGCTTTTATTAGAAAGAAAAGAATCTACAACAAGCATATCCACTTTTCTTAATTTATCTATGCACACTGTTCAAAATCTTGTCGTTAAGTTAAACAGAGGAGAATTCAACAACATGACTGCATTCAAGTCGTTTTCTGATAAAAAACGAGGTAAAAACCTATAAACGCTCAAATAAAAAATATTGAATTATGTGTACAAGAAAACAATCTTTGTACGCATGAAGCAATAAAATAAAATCTTTCTGCTACAGGCTTCAACATGTCTACTATTTCAAGAAAACTCAAACGCTTGGGTTTATCAAGAAATGTTGTTGTGCATGTGTCAGTAGAACAAAACTTAACATGAGTTATTGATGCAGGCTATTTATTTTGACAAAAACTAAATTTAATGTGCACTTTAACAGCACATGGTTATTTGCTAAGAGGTGCGCCAGTAATTTTACAGTCATCTGCAAATCGTGACAAGAATGTTAATTTGATTTGTGCTGTTTCAACAATGGTAATACTGGCTTATGAAATAAAAACTGGAGGCTGGAATGCTGATTCATTTACTACAATATTGGCGCCAGCGATTAGGAATGCAGATGTGGAAGCGCTGGTGCTTGTTATGGACAATTGTAAATTTCAATGGGGTTTTTCTGTTAGACAAACACTAGCCACTCATGGCATAGCTATTAAGTATCTGCCAGCATACACACCACAGCTTAATCCAATATATATATATATATATATATATATATATATATATATATATATATATATATATATATATATATATATATATATATATATATACACACACATATATACACACACAGACATATATATATATATATATATATATATATATATATATATATATATATATATATATATATATATATATATATATGTTTATAAGAAAACATCAAATAGTACGAATTCTCTTAATACAAATAATAATTTATTATTAGAAATTTTTGCTGGATTGTGATTACCCATATCATCTGCTCCTCAAAATTTTTTGAACGTTAAAAACAGTTTAAATTTGCTGGCGTCAGCAATTGAGTGGCTTATTTCTTTTTTATTCAAAAATGCTGTTGCAGACTGGTAATGTTTCCCCTCATTTAAACTTTTTAGATGTTGTTGAGTTCGAGTCTTAATTTGATGTTTTGTTTCGCCTATGTATCTTCTTGAGCATTGCATCCAATTAAAAATGTTCCAGGTTTTGATTTCAATTAAATATGTTCCGACTATTCTGTGGCAATTTAGTTTTGTTTTTTGATGTTAATAATGTTCTTAAATTAGGATATGGTTTGAAGACCACTCTATAGCTAAATTTCCGAAATATTTTCCTTAATTTTTGAGATAGTGATGTTATACACGGTTCTGTAATAACGGTACAGCAGGGAGGTTAAAAGTATCTGATTTAGTTTTGTTGATTTTTATGGATAGATTTTTTCCAATTTGGTTAGCAATGCATTTAAGTTGGCATATGTTGTACCCATTTTCGTTAAATATTTGAATTAGGAAATTTATCTGATCTTGTAAATATATATCACTGCATATAAAATAAGCCCTGTGAATGTAACCTTTATATATTGTGTTTAAAAATGGGGTCATGATTTGAGTTAGGTTTAATTTGAATATATAAATAATGGCTTCCTTTCTGTAAACTTTAAACTTGTATTTACCTTTGTTGTTATTTATTATGTATAAGTCGAGGAAGTTCATAGTTTTATTTTCACTCTCAATTTTGATTGCATATTGTATTGCTGTTGTTGTTGTTTGTTCAATGTATATTGTATTGCTGTTGGTGTTTTATTTTCACTTTCAATTTCGATTATATATTGTATTGCTTTTTGTGGTTGTTCAAGATTATTAGGAACTGTTCTGCTTCTTGATTTTTTTTTTACTATTACAATTAAAGTTACACGGTACAGATATGAACCTTAAATTCATCATTAGCTAGCAAGCTAGCTTGTATAGCTGCAATAATAAAGCCACGGAAAATGATGGACTGTGGTAACTATGTGAGTTGCTGGTCTAGTTTTTTTTTGTGAAACTGTCGATAGTAGAGGCGTTGACAACATCATCCGGGAGAGCATTCCAAGTATTTGCAACCTGATTGTTGAAAAAGTTTAGTCAAATGAGGCAGTTGCTATTAATTTTGCTATGAAAGCATTTGCGATGACCATAGATGGGAGGAATGTATATTGGGTCAATATGCCAGTTGATTAATTCAGTTTTATTTTCAATTTTGAATTTTTAATTAAGGTCACCATGTTTCCTTCTGTCACTTAGTGAAGTTAGTCCAAGTATATCACATCTTGTCTTGTAATCAAGCTGCTTTAATTCATGAGGTATTTTTGTGGCACGATGTTGTATTTGTTCAATTTCAGTAATGTCTTTTTTAAGGTGAGGGCACCAGGTGGTGATAGCATATTCTGGATGTTGACGTATGTATTTTGTATAGAGATTTTTTCAGACTTTTACATCTTTGCTAACAAAGGTGTGCTTCAACATACCTAAGATTTTGTTAGCCTTGGCAGCAGCGGTGAACACTTGACTTTTGTACTTTAGATCAACAGATAGTTGAACACCAAGGTCTTTTTCCAATGTTATTGTTTCTAGTTGGATTCTTTTGACTCTGCTATTGAGTCGTTTTCATTGATGAAGTAGATTTGAGGGACAGATTTGGATTGGTTGATGTGCATAATTTTACATTTTTTGCATGAGCCATAATTGGGTTCAATTGACAATATTATCAATGTCAGCTTGCAGACCAGGGATGCTTTCTAAAGTGTTGACTACACTGAGGACTTTTGTGTCATCTGCGTACATTTTGCATTTTTTTTTGCTGCTAATGTGTTCTGGTAAGTCATTAATATAGACTGTAAATAGTGTTGGACCAAGAATTGAGCCCTGAGGAACGCCACTAGTAACCTGTTTCTAATCGGATGCAACATTACCAAGGAGGACACGTGTTCTATTAGAAAGAAAGGCATTAATCCAATTTAAAACATTTCCACTAATTCCATAAGACTCAAGCTTTTTTAGTAACCTTTTGTGAGGAACTTTGTCAAATGCTTTGGCAAAATCGAGAAATAAGACATCAACAGGTAGCTTTTGTGATGCAGTGTAGGTCAAAAAGTCCATAGTTTCGAGTAAATTTGTAGTAAATGATTTTTTGCTGACAAATCCGTGTTGACATTGGGAGAAAAGATGGTTAGATAATAAATGATGCATGACCTTATCTTTAACCAGTCTTTCCATTTTCTTACATGGTAGAAAAGTGATGGAAATCGGTCTGTAGTTTGTAGGGTCAATCTTAGAACCGTTTTTGAACAATGGAGTTAGCTGCAAGCCAAGCCTTTGGTGCAATTGCTTGTTCCATTGACAATTGAAAAATCATGGCAAGCGGAGCTACTATTGCGCTGGCACATGCTTTAAGAACGTAAGGACTTATTTGATCTTCTCCAGCAGATTTATATTTGTCAAGTGCCTCAAGGTGTTTTTGAACAGATTCAGAATCAAATGAAAAGTTTAAGAGAGAGGTAGATGAGCGTTTAGCAAACAGAGGTAGATTTTGATTATGAGGCTCAATAGTAAAGACAGATTGGAATACCTTGTTCAATGTATTGGCAATCAAAAATCTATCGGTACAGAGTTCACCGGATGGAGAACGTAATGTGTTGATATGATTATTGACAGTACGTTTGCTATTAATGTAGGCAAAGAGTCTTTTTGGATTGTTCTTGTCTTTAGATAGGTTTTCTTTAAATGAATGAATTGCAGCTCTAGTCTCTTTTCTTACAAGATATCGAGTGAACTTGTAATCATTAGCCAGCGAGATAATTTTCCACTTGCTGTTATGGTTGAGAAACCAGAGTTCTTTCTTTCGTTTAATTAATAATAAAAGTTCTTTCGTTACCCAGATTGGCCGTCGTTTATTTTGTTTTAAATGGATAAATGGAATAAATTTTTTGCAACCTTTGTTGTAGATATTGCAGAAGATTTGGTAGCTTTCATTGCATCTAAGTTTTTAAATAGATTTTCCCACCTCTGTTTGGACAGGTAATTGTTAAATTGAATCTAATTTTCTTTATTATAAATAAATTTTGAACTAGTAAAACGAATAAAGTTGGTGTAGTTATTAGCTAATTGATAATGCCAGGATAGAGTACAGTGACCTCGTAAACTATTTCCTAATGGCGGCCCAACAACAATCTCACTTGTAGGATTGGCCGATTCACTGATTATTAGGTCAAGAATATTTTTTGAATACCCGTTTTGATTGAATAAAGGTTGGTCTAGTGACATGTTGATGTAGATATAGACTGTTGATAATGTTAACAAATTTTGTATCTAAACTGGTTTCGATTATTTAAAAATCTAGTGTGAATGATAGTGTGGCTATCGTCGACATATCTTTGATAGGATTCTAGATCAAGATTTAATGTCATTGCAGTTTTAAAAGCGTTTTTTTCGTGAAAAGATTCTGCTAGTAAAACCTACAGGATCGCAATATATATGTATATGTATATATATATATATATATATATATATATATATATATATATATATATATATATATATATATATATATATATATATATATATATATATATATATATATATATATATATATATATTAAATACATGAAAATTTTAGTTAATGCAATAAAACCTTTACTAAAAATATATAGCTTTTTAAACATGATCGATCAGTTTGTAGTTTTTTCCCAATATCTGTTATGATTTTTTTTTTTTTTTTAGTTTGTCGAGTATGCAACTGAAAGGCTGAGACTTATTGTGAGCTTCACTAGCAAAGGTTGCAGCCATCAAATAGAGCAGTATGATTACAAAATATATTATATACATTATTTATAACATGAGGTATTAACAGGAGATACTTAATATAACTTAAAATTTACATAAAATTTGATTTTTACGTTTTAGGGAACTGAGTCACACTTTTGCTCAACTTGCTTCTCAAGCTGACGTTGCTAAAATTAAAATAGAAGAACGAATTCAAGAGTTAAACGAAGAAATACAGAGGTTAGAAGAAATCGAGAGCAAAGCTAAACTCTTAAGGTAACTAAAAAATCTTTTTTTTTTAAATATAATTGTTCTTTTGCTTTCATGTTTTATTATTTAAGTTTTTTTTTTTCCAGAAACAAAGCAACTTTTATTGAAAATGATTTAACCTCATTTGTAAAAGACTTTAACTTAAGCGTGAGTAAGATTTGAACCTGGAAACACAATGATTTGTGACGAGGTTTGAACATGGAAACACAATTATTTGTGGCGAGGTTTGAACCTGGAAACACAATGATTTGTGACGAGGTTTGAAACTGGAAATACAATGATTTGTGACAAGATTTGAACCTGTGTACACAATGATTTGTGACGAGGTTTGAAACTAGAAACACAATGATTTGTGAAAGGATTTGAATCTAGGTACACAATTTGTGATAAGGTTTGAACCTGGATACACAACGATTTGTGATTTTAACAACTATCGGATTTGTATGAAAACAATTTCGTTCCGCAACTTTATTTTTTAACAATAGTTACTGATATTTTAATTTAGTTAATTGTTTACTCCAATTGTATTTAATGGATTCTGTATATAATTATAAATTCGATAAATTCAGTGTTAAAAATCGGCTTGTAATGTTAGTGATTAATACGTAACGTTTGTCAACGGTACGTGAAGTTAGTGAACGTTTCGTAAAGTTGTTATACTTTTTATCTGTATTTTCTGATTGCTTTTGAACCGTTTTACGCGCTAATGTTATCGTTCGTGAATGTATTATACGTTTATATTTGTCTTTGTAATGTAGTTCTATTTATGTATTTAAAGTAAGAATTTCTCCGGAACGTTTTCTGTTTCGAATTAACATGTTTTGTTTTTTGATAGAGTATTTTTCTATTTATCTTTACATAGTTTTTTCAACTATTTAACTAAATTAGTTAGTTATAAAGGTGTAAATGTGTATTGGTCGTGAGACGTCTTTTGCCAACATTGAATATATATATACCTTTAAATATATAGACCTTTTGTATTATTGTCAGTTAAACAATGTATTTTAACACGACCTTACACATCCCTTCCCTGGTTTTGATTCTTGTTACGAGCTTATAGAGGAGTTATCGATTTCTATATGTCTTATTATAAAAACCAAAAAGCGTATTACGCTTTTAAGAAGTTATAAACATCGAAAGGGAAAGTGTTATGCATTATGTATCACTATCTATTATCACTGTTGATCCATGGAAAATTAATTATCTTTATAAGTGTTTCAATTCTTTAAAAAAACAAATGAAAAGATTTTAGCGTGCGTGAATTCTTAATGCCATTTAAAAAAGTTCATTTTGAACCTGATTATCCTTTCTGATTATAAAATATAGCATCACTTTAATAAATGGCATTAAGGATTCACGCACGCTAAGTTCTTATTTTAGAATTTTCTAAATTCTTAACTTTCGCCAATAATCATGTTCTTATTCAAAAAATTACCCAATCTTTATTGGCGAAAATAATTACCGTATGAGAATTTTTGTGTTTTACATGCAAATAAGCGTCCGATGTAATTCCAACACAGCACAGTGGGCCAGGTAGTGGACATAAGTAAAAAAAAAAATGCATTCTCAAATATTACATAATTATATACCATTTTACATTTATTTAAAAAATAATTTTCAATCAGACTGCCACAGTAATATTATTCTAGTTTATAACTTAGATATTTTAGGCTTGTAACTATGCAAAATGAACTGTTACCAGAGATTTTTGGTGTCTCTAAAATGCCTGGCAACAGTTCATTTTGCATCAACCAAATATAAAATCAAATATATGTCATGGAATAATGGAAAATGTAGATAATTAGTGTAATGCATACGTCATATAGTGATAGAAAACGTTGATTAGAGCTAAAGTGTAATGGAGTGATTAAGTAATTAAAAACCTGTTTATTAAGGTCAGATTTTTCCCACATAATGTGTAACGCTTCTTTGATTTTTAAGTGATGCAAAGTTTGGATGTAGTTTAATTCTGAAAAAGAGTCTTTTTTGGCTACATTAAAGCAACTAGTTATTGAATAAATATGTTGATTTATATGAGAAGTTTTTTTAATTTTAAATGTTCCTCAATTCTTTTACTCAAATGTCAAGTAGTTGACCCACATAACAAGCATTGCAGCTTTTACACAAAAGTTTATATATGACATTTGAGCTGAGATGTTGAGGAGTTTTATTTTCTGTTGAAAAATATGCATTTTAAAGGATAAGAATGCCAATATAATATTAAGAGTTTTACTACAATTTTTACAGTTTTACATCATTCGTTTACTTTGTTTTAAAATTGTTCAGACATTTTACGAATATACGGCATTTTATAATAAATTATTTTTTAGTAATTGATAATTTCTTTGTTTTCTTTTTTATATAGTCAGTTTAGGTGAGTTTTTAAAACGCAATCAATTAGTTTAGTCTTGTGAAGGTTTTTTTGGAGAATATGTTTAAGTTTAACTAAATCAGAATGTAAATTAGACCATTTAGTGTTAGTTTTATAAATCCTATCTAATTAAGTTTTAATCGTGCTAATATATGAAATATCGGTAAAACTGAAGTAATTTGTTTTTAGGCCCTTGAAAGTCTTTTCTATATATGCTGGTAATTAAATTATATTTTTCGTCAATAAGAATATCTAAAAAAGCTAATTATTAATTTCTTTTTCCATGGTAAATGTTTTTTGTTTTGATGATTACTATAAAGTTTAAAAAGTTTGATGATTACTATAAAATTTAAAAATTTAAAAGAATCGGTCTAGTTTTCAAATTTTCTATAACTCTACGACGTATATATTTACACTAATTATCTACATTTTTCATTATTTTGACATAGGGTTTCACTCCTTTCACGTTTTCTTTTGTTTGACTAACGAATAAAATTAATGCTTGTTTTCACTATGGGGCTCCATAAATGGTGTCAGTAAATAAAGGGGGGAAAGGGTTATTTAAAAGTTTGACAAGAATTGATAATGGGGAAGAAGTAGGGTGTGCGTTGAGACCAAAATGATTAATTAAAAAATAAATAATCTACAACTACGATGTGATATAGAAATGATATATTTGCTTTGTGGGGAATTCGATGTAAGTTTCCCAGAGACATTAAATAAATTAAAAATTTACCAACTTTTTATTGTATTAATTGTTTACAAGTATCAACAATTTGTACATAAAATTAACAATCGTTATTTGCTCCCTGAAGGATTATAAAATGTGCTTTAAAGCAAACGCATAAAGTCATTAGTTGTTATTTTAAATACAATTGTCATTATTTCAAATACGAATTTTTTTCATTATTTCAGATACGAAACTTTATTTGCTCTCTTGCGGCTTGTAAAACGTGATGCAATGCGAACACGTAAAGTCATTATTGCAAATACGAAACGCTAATTGCTTCTAAGCGCCTTAAAGAATTATTTTTAAACAGCTTGCGCTGACAGGAATAAAATCATTATTTTGATTATGATATAAACAATACTGATAAATCAATAATACAAATATGAATAAAGCAGCGGATCTGATTTTGCCTAAAGAGGACGATAGCTGTTTAGTTTGCGGAGAGCATTCAATACCTATTGTTTCAATCGAAGAACTTCAATAAGTCGTAGCAACATGATGAGAGATTGAATTTATATTATAGATATAGAATAAAATTTGCTTATTTTGATTAGTTTGTTTATTATTTGATGAGATAACAACTGTTCTATAATATAAACTGTTCTATAATGAATTTATATTATAGATATAGAATAAAATTTGCTTATTTTGATTAGTTTGTTTATTATTTGATGAGATAACAACTGTTCTATAATATAATTTAACCAGAAAAAAAAATGTTTACGTGTATTTTTATTGTTACTTTTGGTGGGAAGGAGGGCGGGAGGATACAAAAACTTACATTATATATAAGGGGCCAAAAATTGACAGAAATTGAGAAAAACCACTGACATCATTTATGGACATTTATATATTAAATAGAAATATTAATCCTTATATATTTTGCATTTAACAGTTTTATACTCAAAAATCATTATTGTATAATCAAAACATGTTGTTAAAAAGAGTTTATATTTATTAGACTTTTACTAGACGCAATTGCGGAACAAGTTTATTTGCGTTGAACTGATTCTAACTTTTTAATGTCTTTTTGTAGAAAAGGGAACCAAACTGGCACGCAAACTGGCGCACAGTACTCCAACGTTGGCCACACATATGTTCTATAAAGCTTGACGAACATACTTGGATTCCATTTTTAAAAGTTAATAAGTTTTAAAAGAATCTAATGACGTATTAAAAAACTGATTTTGAAAGTAATAAAACAGGCGATAAAATTGAGCACGCGCCACTGGCAAATCTTGGATTTGAGTCGAAGTTTGCAAAGCTGGACAATCGCATAAAAATAAAATATATAAAAATAGAACTACATCAATACAGACCGCTTCTAGAAAAATATGTTGTGATAACCAATGCCTATTTGCTAAATTCAAATTTTTTAAAATTACTTGGAAGCGTGAAAAATAAACGTTGGAAATGGGAAAGGACTTCATGCAAAGCAGGAAGCTGGAAGATGTTTTCTTAGCTACAGTGAAACAGGTTCGTCAACTAGCGGCAATTTAAAATCAAAAAATGAAGGTAAAAAAGCGTGGAAAAACTTAAGAGCTTCTTGAAAATTGCAAAGAACATAACTGTCCCATAACTCCGAAAACTGTTGATATTTTGGACTCGCTCAACAAAAAACAGATGATCAATGAAATTTCGTACCTACGTCTGACGATAGTGCCTGAAATCAAACAACGACGACGAATAAAACTTGAAAATTCAAAATTGTAAATTTTAAAATTGACGAACTTAGACTCCATTTGTAGCGCAATAAAACCAGATAATGAACTCTCGAACAACACTGGTACAGTTTAGTTCAGTCGTTTTTAACAGTAAAAAGTCCAGAATAATACGATACTTGTGGTTCAAAAAATTGTGGCTCCAATATCTCTTTTTATAGGAGTTCGAAGTTGCTGAATCAAATTCAGCAATCTCGAAATGGCTGTTTTTAGCATACATCTTGAAAAAAATACACTTTCCTAACCTAAATCGTCATGCTAGCTGCAATTTCTTATTCTGCATCAAGTTTCTAGTCAAATTTTGTCTCAAAAATTTATTTCTGGTCATGGTCTAATATTAAAGAATGTTTAAGGTTTATTATATGGCCTGACATGAGTAATTCTGATGACGACAAAGAGGTTTTTAAAGTTGAAATCATTAAAGAAAAAAATAAATATTTAATTATAAGATGTTGCTATTGCCCAACTTCAGGTCAAATCAAAAACAACAATGTATTTTTAATTGATACTTTAAGAAAAAGATTTCAAGATTGAAGAATTTAAAGTGTCACATTGTTCAATAAAACAAGGAATTTTTCCAAAAAAAAAAAAGGGTATTTTTTTTAAAGTTATTTAAGCAACCTTAAAATTTTTTATCGTAATCAAAATGATTTATTAAGTATAACAATGGCTCTATACTCACTTCTCCTTCTTATTTACAAGAATGATTGTTATAAAGTTTCAAATTTAATGGCAGTCGTGTTTGACAATGACATTTTTTTATCTGATATTATCAAATCAATACTTTTTTAAAATATAAATAATGAAATTGCAAAAAATTATGAAACTGCAAAAAATTATGAAATTGCAAAAAGTTATGATAACCTTTGACTAAATGTTAAAAAAGCAAAAAGACCACTTTTTCATCCAACTTCTAAAACAGAACTACTGCCTCTTGATATACCTTTAATTCAGAGATATAGGTCTCGAGACTTATGTCTTGGTTTTGAAACGTCTAAAGACTCATATTTAACTGTCTTGGTCATAGTCTTGAAACTTGGAGTCTTGGTATTGAAAACCTAGAGTGTTGGTCTTGGTCTCGGACCTTCACTGTCTTGTACTTTTTTTGATTCTCACAAAAACTGTCAACACAATTAATAGACTAGTAATTAATAATAAATTGTTATTACTAGAATTAACGTGTTATTTAAGTTATGAAATTAAGTGACACTTAAATGTCTATTTTACTTCATACATAAAGTTCTTTAAGAGAATATGTAAACTTTATTTTGATTTTTTTTGGTAAAAATAGTATGTGGTTACAATAGTAAAAAAAGCATAGCATATCTGCTCTATGCGGGCTATTCTTAATTTCGCAGATGAACTTGCGTCATTTTTTTATTGGTACATTTTGTTTTTAGCAAATAGGTACACTTTGTTTTTAGCATTTTCAAAGCCTTGCACAGTGGTTTATTTTGTACTTTTTGTGGACATTTGACTATACTTAGGAATAATCTCTTTATGCGGCATGTTTAAATAAAGCATTGTCATTATATATGTTTTTAGCTTAATTTTTAAAGTTCAATCATTAAAAAATACTCCTGAGGGCATACCATAACTCTTGGACAAAATAACATACAGTAAAACACCCTAGTTATAACTTTTTTTAAAATAGGTATACATGGTCAAAATTCATATTTCTAGGGTAGCATTTCAAGCTTTATTCATTAAAATTACTCTCATGTTATCACCATGATTGCACTTTAACTTTAGTACACCAAAAGGACACTTTAAAGCATGCAACTAAAAAGTATTACAGATTCTTATATAAAATCATTATACATATTTTTACGTCAGTTAGATAAGAGTTATCCGTTAAAAATATTCACAAGATCATAAAATTTATCAAGGACATAAAAACACACTGAAAAACACACAAAAAAAAATAAAACACTAAAATTCTAAAATAATTTTATGGTCGCAATACGTTTTTAAAATATTATTGTACGCTTCATGAATTAAAAAAATTATTTTATAGCTGTAGGACACCAAAAGGACAATATAAATTTAATCCACTATTTTTTTTTTTAAAATCCAACAATAACTATTAAATACTCGGACAATATAAATTATATAATAAATATAAATTATTGTGAATGTAGACACTATAATTTATACTATGTCCTAGCATTTATTAGTTATCGTATGATTTCATAAAAGAATTTAAAATTAAATTATTTAATAACGCCTTTTAATGAATTCAAAACAGTAAAATACCATCACAAACTTGATTTTAATGTGTTATATGCAGACTCATGTTAGTTTTCCGTTTTAAAAGTCATACTTTAACACTTAAAAGAAGTTTGAATGTTCGTTACAAAAATGAAATTTCTTATCAAACTATTAATTTTTATATTTATATTTCATGTTTGATTTAATTGGTTATTGTCTATTAAAATATAGTTATTATACGATGTAACAAGTGTTTTTAATTGTTATCTAAAGTTAGATCTTAAGTTAGCCCCATAAAAATTTTAAATAAATGATTTTTTTTTTAAATTTTAAATGTCAAATTTTAAAAGTTCAATGAATTTACTGTGGTTTTAAATACAAAGATTTAAAAAATAAAAACTTTTTTAAAAATAAAAAATAAATACAATTTAGTAAACAATAATTCAATTCGGCAACCATTTTTAGAAACTAATTTTGAAAAATAAAGCATTTCATTTCTTGAATCTTCTCTTTCTTGAAGCATTTCATTTCTTGAAGCTTCTCTTTGGAACAAAATAATTTGAAAACATTTTTACTTTTCTTTTAAATTATCTTTCTTTTTCAGAAAAAGGTTATAGAAATTATTTTGTCTCTGGTTGACATTTTTAAACGCTTAATAACTTACAGTACTTTTTTTTATGTGTGCATTAATTTTATAAAGTTTATAATTTACGAGCGGTTCTCGATGACAAGACTTGATTGGTCTTCCACGAGTATCCGCGTTTTTTTTATCTTTTTCTTATTACGTAACGTTTTATTATTTTAATTATTTTATTGTAAAAATCAAAATTTACTGAATAAGTAAAAACAAAAAAACAAAACAAAAAGATGTTAGAAAAAAACGACAATAATTTTTATATTTCAGAGGTTTTGCGCACAGATTATAGCAGTTACATAAATAATGCTCTTGATTACATGAACTTATCCTGGAGTGGGGTAAGTAAGCGCAAACTTTAAAAGTTTATAATGCATTCATGAATGTAAAATAATGTAAAAGCACTATACTTTATTTAAGCAACAGCTTTAAAACGAAAAATTAATATCACTTAGAAGCAAAAAAAAACAACAAAAAAACAAACAAAAAAAACGTAAACCTTCGAGGACTGTAATTTAATTATTTTTTTAAAGCATATGTTTTAACATTTTCTTTGTAATGTAAAAAAAAAAGCAATGTTTCTACATAAGTTACTTTTTTTCACAAAAAACACATAAATTGCATAATTTCTACACGCAAACGCGAAAACCTTTCAAATACGAGGAACAAATGATTATTTAAGAAGATTCCAAAAAACTTTTCAACTAAAAAAACCTTTCAAATACAAGTAACCTTTTGAATACAAGGGACCTTTCAAATACAAGGATTACTTAAAAAGATTCCACATAAATTTTCCGAAGTTAAACACACTTTGCAAAATGGGCACACGTAGTCCCAATAAATTTTCAATGATCCTAAACATGTTTGTTTCACGTATATATTTACAATTTAAATAATAATAAAAAAAAGAACTACAATTTTTAATAAATATGCATAATAGTATTTTCTACAAAATCATAAAAATATTCAAAGATAGATTGTGCAAAATATTTACAAAAATATTAGTAAAATATGTTCATAAATATACGACATGCAAATAATGCTCAATAAAATACAGTAACATTATGTAAAAAGGTTTTGAATATAAGTTAGTAGAAAAAAGTTAATTTTATTAGAAAATTTTTTTTTTTAAAAAAAAGTTAATTTTATAAAAGAAATATTTAGAAAATATAAAATGTTAACAAAAGAAACAAATATGTCTAAAATATAAAAACTTGATCTTAATATGTAAAAATAAAATGTCAACAAAAGAAAAAAATATGTCTAAAATATAAAAACTCGATTTTCATATGAAAAAATGATTAAAAAAATAAAAGATAATTTAATAAGAAATTGACTTTAAGAAGTTAATTTCCAAAGAAACAACTGAACTTTTATGTCATCGGTGTACGTTTTAAAAAGATCTACGTTTGATGAAATACGTCGAGTATTTCTGAGATCAACATGACCCAAACCCATACTAACCACATACCACGGCGATAAAAGTAATTCTCTGTGAATGTCTTCATCCTGCTTTGAGACTTCAGTCAAAGATGCATAATAGTTATCATTAGTTACATCTTCTGAAACTTCATGAGAACTGTTTATTGATATTTCTTTCTCATAAGCATTGATACCAATCATAGATGTTACAGAACTACTTACAGGAGAATTTAAAAGTGACATGTAATCTGATTCTTGAGATTTCATAGAATATGTTGGGACTGCAGGCAAAGGAAGTTCCTTGTACAAATCATCTAAAACAATAACTTCGTTAGTATTGGAACTTGAACATGATTGATTTGAATTAAACTTTGTACTTTTATCGATAATTGCATAAGACAGTTCAGATATATCAATAGGGTGCTCATAGCTAGACGATTGACACATATTGTTACAAAATGTGTAATCTGTATGATTATTCTTAAATTCAGAAAATGATTCTGCTTCAGCAGACTCATCATTTTTAGTCAACTTTTTAGGATTTTTTGCTTCATAATTAATATCGTCTTCTGCTAGTAAATTAGGTATTAGCTTGTTATGATTGTCAAGAGAGAACTCAATTAAGTTTTTAGTAATTTCATTTGATAACAAACTATTGATAACTGATTGATTTTCATTTGATTGATTTGAAAATGGCAAACTGATTACATCGACTGATGTAAAAAAAGTTTCTGACATTTGTGAAGTATTTGCAGTGCAATCTTTGTCTGTTGGATTATTTTCAAGGTTTTCGTTAGCAAACTTACTATCGCTATCAAATTTATCTCTACCTTTATCCAAACTATCTATTTCATCTCTACTTTTATCAAAACTATCTGTTTTAGAAAATTTTTGACAATATTCATAATCATTATTAGCTTGTTTAGAAAAATGTGAAAAGTTTGTTGAAAATTTTTTTGGTTCATCAAGACAAATATTTTTATCATTAATTTTTAATGTGCAACTTGACAGTTCATCAAACTCATTTGTGGCTACATTAACATCAGCCTCAACTGTAAAGTAATAGGGTTCCTCAGCTTGTAAAAAGTCACCAGAATCACTACTTCGCTCGTGTAAATCACTTTGTTCAGGTGAAGCATTTGAATCGCTTAAAACACTATTTCGAGCTAAAATTAATATACACATACATACATATATGTACATATACATACATATATGTAAATATATGTATGTACATATATATTTATATTATCATTTATATTTTCGACTTGGTGCATATCAAAGAGTTATACAATGAAACAAAACTCTAACTGAAATACAAACATTAAATAAAAAATTATAAAGTAATAGTTTAATTCATGTAAAAATAGAAAGTTTTCTCTTTGTTTTATGGAAGAATTTAGTGTCAAAAAATCTGTCAGTAGATGCCAAAAGACTGGATTATGTTCCAGCAGATAATTGAATAATTTTTCGTAAAAAAACATGTACATTTTTAACATTCATTAACTCTGTATATTTTTGTTGTACAGCACTCTGCAAGTTTTTAAAGTTACTAAAACATTCGTTTTTAGAAGAAGTTCTTAAGTCATATTTTTTAAATGCGCAGTTATTTCTAAAGGATGGTAATCATTTTCTGAATTTGGTTTAAAAAAATTTTTAAACCAAAATTCTGCTGAAATCTGTCAAAAAGAATTTCCTTAATAATATATTTATTTACAAAAGAAAAGTTTAGAATTTGATAAAAAATGAAATTAAAAAAAAAAAAAAAAAAAAAACTTTTTTTGAAACTAAAGATAAATTTTTTTTTCACATTAAGAAGAAACAACGTAAGATCTTAAACACGTTAAATAAGAACTCAATGCACAACTACTGCAAATGAACATCAACAATAATGATTCAATAAATATTTTCTTTTAAGTAAATCATTACTTTGCATATTTTACTCATAATAAAAACCTGCATTTTGAAGATCCTCATGTCTTTTATTAGATTGAGTTTTAAAAGCATGAAAGTATTTAACTGCTTCTTTGTGTGCATGAAAAGATATACAAGCTTGTCCTGACACAGTTGGAATACCTCCCAATCGAGGTAGAGGATATGTTATTATTAACCCACTATTCAAGCCCACCCAAAGGAAACCTTCCTTTGCTAGTAAGGATGTAACATATACTTTATCCAAGTTTGAATCAGGTAGAAGGTTAATATCTACAAAAAAAATGTTACAGATACAAATGCAAATGATGACAATTGAAAAAATTATTACAGACACAAATAAAATAATGGTAATTAAAAAAATGGTCACAACAATTATCCGACATGAATTACCATTTTTCATGCGTGACAGCGGAGTAGTCACAGTTATTGTCTGCAAAAGGTCATGTGTTTCAATGTGATAAAGAGTTAAATTTGATGATTTCCAATGTGATGTCCAAACTCCCATGCCACATAAAGTTAGATGTCTTACAGCTTGTTTAACATTGTCACTTGTATCAATTTTTTGCTGAAAAACAAATATCCTAATATTTATTTATATACATTATTTCTTCTTCAAACTAGTGAATATTTAAAATTCTATAAATTTTTTCTGAATTTAATTGTTTTACTGTTTAATTTTTTTGACATTTTTTAAATTAACTTTATTTTTTCAAAATTTATCAATACCTTTATCCCAAGTGTTTGTGTGTCTAAAATATTTATATGCGTGCCAACAGCACACCAAAGATATTCATTTACATCTAGCAAACACATCACTGACTGTATCCCCAACCAAATAAGTGTGGGATTGGCAATATCCCAACTGCCATCTTGAAAATAATAGTAAATAAGTTTACTCACCTATTAAATTTTTTATTAAAAATTGAATACCACAATAATGAAATATTAAAAAGTTTATCAGAAAGTTTAAAGAAATACTCAATTTTCTTCGAAAACATGATAACATGCCGTTAGCAAGACCAACAAATAATTTATCTTCAGAAAATCTAAACCAACATAAAACCAAAATAAAATACAAACAACTTATTGCTGTAAACACAAACCTAAATGTAAACATAAACCTGAACACCAAGAAGTAATAATAAAAAGATTCCTTTTAAAACAAACAAAAAATATTTTTTAAACACAAAGAAATATTTGCAAACACCATTAGTAAAGAACAACATAAAGAATTCTCAAACATGAACATACTTCATACTGACAGCTGAATCTTTAACTTTGGTTTTAAAAAACAACTTTTTCATTTGTAAACTATGTGTTGTATATATCAAAATTCTAAATAAAATAAATTAAATATAAGAAAAAAAGATTGAAATACAGAGTATATAATAATAATAGAAGAGAGGCAGGGGCTAGTTGACTGCAATTTTAATTTACGAGCTCTGTACATTTCTGGATGAGTTTTTTTTAAAAAAATATCAAACCACAGTTCAAATGAATTTGGCAAGCATGTTTAACAGTCAAACAAAAAAAGAGGTAAATTGTATCCATAAGGTAAATTGCTTATATCTGAGTTGACACATACAAATAAGATAAATTTAGCAAGATTAAGCACCTTATTCAAGTGGAACTCATTATGAAAACTGATAATTTTTAATTAACAGTAAAAATGTAAAATACAAATGATAAATTATATTTATAACATAAAAATCAAAAACTGCTATAACTTCTGTGCATATGCAATACTTGTATTGATACACCACTAGAAGTATTGATACACCACTAGAAGTATTGATACACCACTAGAAGTATTGATACACCACTAGAGCTATTGATACACCACTAGTAGTATTGATACACGACTAGAAGTATTGATACACGACTAGAAGTATTGATACACCACTAGAAGTATTGATACACCACTAGAAGATGAATTAGTAAAAAACTTTTCTTTTTTTCAAAACCAGTGAAAAAAAATAAATTTCTTTACACCTCTTGTAAAAAATGTTTGAGATTTCCTATACTTGCGTATAAGAAAAAGTTTAAACTAAAAAAAGTGTGTACTTTTATATTAAAATTGAGTAATTTTAACTACAATTTTTTGACAGTTAATATATAAAATGAATGATATTATGATTTTAATAAATATTTTAACCATAATTAAACTAAAAACTACAATTTATTACACAATTTATTAGTCTCTGCTAAATATATTTTTTAAAAAAGTAATTAGTCTACACTCAGTATATAGTCATCAGTCAAAAGATACTTGCCACCAGTGCAAACAAATAAAAAACTGTTTTCCATGCCTTATCTAGTTCAAAAAATTTTAAAATCAATGACAGAGATGTTTTTTGTGCTCCAGGATTAATAGGTTTGCAAAAATGTTGATTTAAATCAAACTAATATTTATAGATTTTATATCTATCTACTATAGCGTATATAGTTATATATTTGCTGACTTAAATCTAAAGGGTTTTTTCGGAAAAAGAAAAAGACAAGAAATAATGACAAAAAATAGCACTTTACATATTTTACCTATACAGTAAGTTGATAGATACACTGAAGCCCTCACATCTAACTATAGCAGTATGATGTCATATTGCAAGGAAATAAAAAATTCAACATTTGGACTCTTTTTATTTATTTATTTAGATTAGAAATTTAAACAAAAAAAAAAGACATGTTTTTTTCATAAGAAAAAAAAAAAAAAAAAATTCAACTATGTTGGGTTTTAAAAGAAATATCTATTGTTAATGACAACTATAAAAATTGAAACAGAAACACACTTTTCATTTAATTTTACAGAGATCAACCACCATTAAAACAGATTAAAAGTGAAAACATTTTAAATTAAAAAAATGAAAAAAAAAGACAACATTTTTATAAGCATGATCTTATGTGATGTTAAGAATAATGAAGGAAATAAGAAAAGCATTGAAAGATCTGGAACATAGGAGAATACATATGCTCATGTTAAAAACAGGTCACAGAAAAAATAACAAGAGTGGTACAAACTTAACTAAAAATATATTTATATTATTGAGCGCACTGACTGCACTATATATTTAACCACATAACCAGGAGTACACTGGTGATCATGTTTAGTTTAAAAGGTAGAATCATAAAAACACTTTTTCTCATTCAACTCAATCAGTTTAACTTTTGTCTTTGCTAAAAGTGGAAATTACTCAAGTTGCTTTTGTGGAAAAATAAATAAGAAATGACTTTCAAATCAATAGCAAATAAATTTGAGAATACCAACTTTGATAGCAAATCTTATATACAGATGCAGTATGACAAAAATGTCACTAGCCCATGCCTGTCAAAAATGAAGTTGAATGTGGGAACTATTAACATAATCCCACCACCTGAACACAATCTAAATGAAACTACGCAAGCAAAATAATTGAATTCCTCTTTACTGATAAAGGTCTGAGGATCTTAATTGAAAACAAAACTGTTACATGGCTATAACTGAAAAGAAAAATAGGCATGGCTATAATGGTGATAATTCTAATGGAACTAACTGTTAAAAGTTTTAAATTTTTTGGATGAAATGACAGTTCAATTTTCTGATTTAATACATTAAATATATAGAGACCATGTAGAGGTTTAAAATAATAATTAAAAAAAATCATTATCATAAGACACAGAAAGGATTTATGGTATCTGATATAAATTTTCCATCATTGTTAAAAATTAGGAACTATAGTTGTTAAATACAATTCAATAAGATTGTAAAAAATTTTTCAAGGATTTATTTATAGTAAAAGATAAAATATTGTCTTAGTAAGATATTATAATATTTAAAATACTATTTTTATCATTTGTATGTATCAGTGGAGGCAGAACATTTTTTATCATTTCAAAGACGTTTCTGTCAACCATGGATTTAGAATTTGGGAAAGCATGAATTTAGGTTTCTGTTAAGCATAGGGAAATTTACAACTTAATTTTGGTTAAAATTCCTTAAAATATTATTTTGCAAAAAATTACAGTGATTGCACAGGAACAAAAATTCATTTAAAATAAATACTTACTCTCCAGAAATTGTTCCTATCCATATTGTAAAGCCATCCGTTTCTTTTACTATTTCAGCACAACAAATTCTTGATTCACAAGCAACAAAACTATCAAAAATAGAAGGCTCAGGTGACATGACAGATGTCATTTCAATTATGGTAACAATACCTATGTGTTCTGTGCCAGAAAACACCCACAAAATGGAATTAGCAGTGTTGGTGTAAGGTATTTCCAAAACTGTTTCTACCTGATAATACATACAAATCAGAACAATCTTTTCACAATAATGATAAAATAAATAAATAATAATAATAAAAAAATAATAAATAATAGATAAATAGAAAGATTTTTAAAGCAAAAAATTAGTAGGAAGATGTTCATAGTGAACAATTTTTGATTTAAATTTATACAGTTACATTCCTTTTTGTATCTTTGTGATTGCAAATACTCTTTATATCAACTGGTTACTCTTTTCACATGTTGCAGCATCTTTATTGATTTTGATAGTATCAGGGGATTCTTTAAAGGAAGTCAAAAGATCTTCAATATGGCATAATGCAAAAAGAGATTTTTTTTTTAAATTTGCTATAGGAAGTTGTTTATTAATATTAAAACCACACTTAATGAAAAATTGGCCATGTGAAAGCATTCCAAATATCTTGATAAACAACACAATAAAGTCAAAGAAAAAATTATCAAGACTTTTATTATCAAAATGTTGAAATGATTTCCGATTTGAGTCAACTATTTCTAAAAACTTTTGATATTGATTTTTAGCTAGTTCAGCAGGTATAAGTGACAAACGATCAAACTAATTTTTAGCTAGTTCAACAGGTATAAGTGACAAACGATCAAACTAACTTTTAGCTAGTTCAGCAGGTATAAGTGACAAACGATCAAACTAATTTTTAGCTAGTTCAGCAGGTATAAGTGACAAACGATCAAACTAATTTTTAGCTAGTTCAGCAGGTATAAGTGACAAACAATCAAACTAATTTTTAGCTAGTTTAACAGGTATAAGTGACAAACGATCAAACTAATTTTTAGCTAGTTCAGCAGGTATAAGTGACAAACGATCAAACTAACTTTTAGCTAGTTCAGCAGGTATAAGTGACAAACGATCAAACTAATTTTTAGCTAGTTCAGCAGGTATAAGTGACAAACGATCAAACTAATTTTTAGCTAGTTCAGCAGGTATAAGTGACAAACAATCAAACTAATTTTTAGCTAGTTCAGCAGGTATAAGTGACAAACGATCAAACTAATTTTTAGCTAGTTCAGCAGGTATAAGTGACAAACGATCAAACTAATTTTTAGCTAGTTCAACAGGTATAAGTGACAAACGATCAAACTAACTTTTAGCTAGTTCAGCAGGTATAAGTGACAAACGATCAAACTAACTTTTAGCTAGTTCAGCAGGTATAAGTGACAAACGATCAAACTAATTTTTAGCTAGTTCAACAGGTATAAGTGACAAACGATCAAACTAACTTTTAGCTAGTTCAGCAGGTATAAGTGACAAACGATCAAACTAACTTTTAGCTAGTTCAGCAGGTATAAGTGACAAACGATCAAACTAATTTTTAGCTAGTTCAGCAGGTATAAGTGACAAACAATCAAACTAATTTTTAGCTAGTTCAGCAGGTATAAGTGACAAACAATCAAACTAATTTTTAGCTAGTTCAGCAGGTATAAGTGACAAACGATCAAACTATTTTTTAGCTAGTTCAGCAGGTATAAGTGACAAACAATCAAACTAATTTTTAGCTAGTTCAGCAGGTATAAGTGACAAACGATCAAACTAATTTTTAGCTAGTTCAACAGGTATAAGTGACAAACAATCAAACTAATTTTTGCAATAGAATAGAAAAATTATTTAATAACATGTGCATGTCTGTTATTTGGATTTGAAATAAAAATTGGGTTAATGGGTACTGCAGTGCATATTATGAGGGGACTTCTCAAGAAGGTGTGTTAACAGACCAGCTAAAAATTCTCCTGCCTCTTTTTTTGAATAAAGCTACTCTTTGGTCAGTGTAATTTGAATTAGTTTGGTCAATTTTCAGCAGAGCAACAAAACCAATATCAATTTCATTTGTAAGTTTTCTAATGTTTTTATAAGTTAAATTTATTTAAAGGTGATGGTAAAATTTACTATACTTATTTAAAACATCCTTTAGCATGCTCTGCCTGAGAAAGTCATCAACTATATCACCTAGTACAATAGCCATGTAATAATCATTTTGTCAACCCTTTGCCTGTTCAACCTTTCTAACATAAATTTCATTTTCACACCATATATGCAAAAAAAACTTCATTGGATAATTAAATGTTCCGTGACGTTTTCATAGGTTTCTTGTCTAGTGTAGAGCCATGTAGAAACTGCAACACACTTTTAATAAACTATTTAGCTCCCAATTGCTTTTGCTCCTGCTCTAAGACTGCTGTAAATGAGTGACAACAGGTTTCAATATCTACAAGAGGATCAAGTTCTTCCTCTGTTCCTTTAAATAATCTAGAAAAAGCAAATTTAAACTTAGTCTATCCAATGACACATGTAAAATCTTTGATATATCTATAACAGAAATAAAGTTTAGAAATCTTTGCACAACATCAGATACAGTGGAGCGACTCATGAACTCTGATTTAAGATAACAAGTTTTAACCAAACATAAAAACAGGGGCTAACATAAAAACCTGGTTTTAAATCATATTTAACTATAATATGGTACTTTAAAATACACAACTGACTTATTTTCAACGATATAAATATGCAACGATATAAATATACATATTCAGAAAAGTTATATTTACTTGCTTTACAGTTTCAGTTATGCAATAAAATCTCATAACAAGGCTTGTTAATTACTAATTAAAAAATGAAATTTCTTTATTAAAATACACTTAAAATAATATATGAAATACCCTTACTGTATATTTTGAATCAATCGAATGAAATGGAATTCTTTTTGCTATTAATGGAAGAGTTCTACGTAAAACTGCAGTCTCACCAGCTGAAAGACTTTCTCCTTGCATATACCAACCAGGATTATTATCAAGTGAAAGATGAAGTTTTACATTTTCTAACTCTGCTAGCCATTCTATCTTTTTGATAGGTGTATGAACATTAAATAAGTATGTTACTCTGTCATTTCCATTACTAGAAATAATAATTAAATACATACACACATACATATATATGTATATATAAATATATATATATATATATATATATATATATATATATATATATATATATATATATAACATATATAATTATAACTTTTTCAACATCTTTGCTTTCAACAAGGCTGCAAGCAACCACTATTAGAGTAGGAAGTTACTGGAAGAGAAAAGATGAAACTTATAGAGTAATAATTCCAAATAAATTCGAGATTTTGAGGAAAAAAACTAGGCAAATAAAAATATTTGGAGCACTTAGGAACAGTCACAGTTAAAGGATGAGACTTAATTGAATAAGGAGTAACACAAGAATAAATTTTAATAGATGACACAAGAGATGCTAGCTCTTTAGAGCAGTGCCCATTATAGTATTTGTAGAAAAGAGAAAGAGAACCAATATTACGACAATGTGATAATGGTTTGAAGTTGGCTGTAGAAATAGATCCAACTATGTTTACAATGCGTTTTTGCACCTTGTCTAAAAGAGAAAGGGCATCATTAGAAGATCTGCCCCAGATATGGCAACACAAGGTCGGATTTGAAATTTATAGAGATAGAGAATAGAATCCAGAGTAAGAAAGTGTCAAGCTTGATAAAGAGATGCAACTTTAGCAGAGGTTAATTTTGCAACGGATTTGATATAAGGTTTCCAAGAAAGATCAGAAGTGAGAGTTAATCCTAGAAGATGAAGGGTAGACGACTCATTGAGTACATTACCGTTCATAAATATAGGAAGGTCTAAATTATTGCTATAATGATTGGCTGAAAAAAACTGAGTTTAATCTGAATTAAAGTTCACCAGCCACTGTGAGCCCCATGCTGTAGCAGAAGTGAGATCCTTTTCAAGCTCAAATGCCCCCTGCAAGCAATCAGAGGGAGTTAGCTTCTTATCGTGACAAGAGTAAATGGTAGTATCATCAGCGAACAATGCCACCTTAGATGTGAGAATATCTGGAAGATCGTTAATATAAATTAAAAAAAGTATAGGGCCAAGGATTGAACCTTGAAGAACCCCTGAGGTTACAGAATAAGAAGAGTGCTGTCCATCAAGAACAATTTTTATACTACAATTGGAAAGAAAGGATTCAATAATCTTAAAGATGTTTCCAGATACACCGTAAGAAGAAAGCTTATGGAGAAGACCAGCATGCCAAACTTTATTAAACGCTTTAGAAATGTCAAGAGTTATAGCCTTAACCTCTCCACCTCTATCTAATGAACGATAAACCCTATCACTTATTAATGTTAGCAAATGAGCTGTAGAACAAGAAGATTGAAATCCATATTGATGATTAGAAAGTTATTAGATTTAAGATGAGTATAAGTGCTTGTTAATTAAAGATTCAAAAACCTTGCTTACGATAGGAAGAAGACTAACAGGAAGGTAGTTACATAAGTCAGATCGCTCTCCAGATATTTTGAAAATAGGGATAACAGATGCTGCTTTCCAGCAGGCTGTAAAACAAGACTCTGATAAGCAATTGTTAAATAATTTTGAAAGTTAAGACAACAGCTCCAGAGAACACTTCTCCAAGACTATAATAGATATGTTATCTGGACCACAAGCTGTAGGAGTCTAAGCAGGAAATCACTTTAGATGCAGATGCTGGACTGATACAAATGCTAATTAATGGATCAGCCTGTTTGTCCGCTATATCAGGTAGAACCCAGCTAGTGTAATATATATATATATATATATATATATATATATATATATATATATATATATATATATATATATATATATATATATATATATATATATATATATATATATATATATATATATATATATACATATATATATATATATATATATTTGTATATACAGTAGCAGCCAAAAATTTGCGGACAGAGTAAAAAAATTTTAATAATATTTCAGCAGATACTAAACGAAAGGTTTTTTTTATTTTTTTGAACGAATATTGATAATTTAATCAAGATATTTCAATTGAATAATAAAAAAATAATGAATTTTGATGAGTTCAAAAATTTGCAGACAATTCATTTATATTTAAAAATGCAGGCATTTTTCAATGATCAAAACTTATTAGAAATGCAAAATCACATAACTATTTTGTAGGACTATCTTTAGAATCAAGAATGTCTTTATATCTTTGAAGCATTAAGTTAACTAGATTAATGCAAATATCAACAGGACTTAATTTAATTTTTTAAAAAGTCCCGGACAAAATGTCCAATTAAAACTTGTTTGTGTCCCATCAAATTTTTAAAGTATGATTTTTTTTGTTTTACGAAATGCAATCAAAATCTTTGTCATGTTATCCAGTTTATTTAATTAATTTATTTAATTAGTCTAGTGAAGTTGTAGTTTCTTTCCTAAGTATTTAGAGTATTTCATCACAGATTTTTGTTTTTTAATAAAATAGTTTCAATTTAATGAAATGATTTTTTAGATAGACTTAAATTTTCATGCTGTAACTGACAACGCTTTTTTTTAACAATTTCAATGCAATAAAAAAAATTGTTACATTACGAATAACTTTTAACCATTGATCTTTTTTTTTTTAGTTAAGTTTTTATTTTACACCAAGGCTTTAAATAAAATCAAAAATTATTTATAATGGTTGCTTAAAATAAAACACATTATGTGTAAATGAAATGTTATGCATATTTTTTTTTAATAGGTATGTATTTTTTATGATAAATTTAAATGATTAAAGCTATTTTTTCATGTCTTTTTTAATCTTTTAAAAGATAAATTTTTTAATTTACCTTAAATTATGAATAAGTTAAAAATTAAATCTTCACATGATTTAATTGGTTTATTTTTTTTATTTCTATTTTTACAATGAATTGTTTAAACATTTTTTTAACCTGAATTACAAATTAAAGCATGAAATGATTTAAAATTATGATTCTAAAGAGGCTATGTTACTTGTTCATTTATATATCAATAATCATCAATTAATAAAAGTAATTTGTAAAAGCATTTTGCGTAACTTTAATTAAACATTTAAAGATAAATTGTAAAGTAATTTTTTTCAAATGCAATTAAAATTGTAACAAAAAGTAGTTTTAACTTCGAGTTTTTATAGATTTATTTTAACGCTAATTTATTTTCTTTTTCGTAAGGAATTGTTTTGCTTATTCTTTACTTTTTTCAAATTTTTTTCTAGTTTAGCTTAATGTTTCTTTTCTCAGCGCATTTCTAAAACATTTAAATCATCAAAACATATAAACAGTTTAGGTCAAGTTGTAAACAAAAAAATCATTTGCATGGTTAGCCATAGCACTCGATCGCACACCATTTCTATCCAAGACTTTAATTCCCGTCGGTCAAAATGTCCGATTACTTTGTAAATTGATCGGACAATCTGAGGTTTTAGCCAGACAATGTCCGATGTCTGTCCGTTAAATTGAACCCTGTATCAATGGGAATAAAGTGCATAATTTCTTTGATTTTTCTGAATAAATTAGCATGATTTGTAGCTTGATGCTTAATATTTAACAATCAACATATTTCCATAAAAATTAATGGCATATAATCTCAAATAACTCAATTGATTGGAATATCAACTTCTAAACACAATCTTTATTCTTTTAGAAAAATTATTGAACCAATTTACCTTTGTGTTTGGGATTGATATTTTTATGGTATATATATCGTCGAATTATTTTATCTTTTGAAATAGGTAATACAATGCTCTTAGATATGTCTTTGGATATTTCTTGATCAATATTTTTTTTACCAACCTGCTCAAGAGCATTACATTACCTCCATGCATGCATGCTTTACGGTAATCAGATAATTGAATACAAATTATGATATATGATCATATTTTATAGTTAATGCATGTCAAACAAACTTGATTCAATCTGATAAATGCATAAACTTGTTTTCATTACTAAAGCGAATACTTGACCATACTTGATTAATCCACTTTGGTTTATTCTTTTTAGGCAATTCAGTTTACAAGGAAAACAATTCAAGGATGGATATCTTCCGAACACAACTGCATGACCTAAACAATGCTTTGCAGTAGAAAATACTATAATTTATTCCATAAAAATGTTTTATTTGCTCATTTAAATTATTAGCTGTCAATTTGGGTTTTTGATTGCTTAGTATTGTGAGATTTTTATCTTGATGGTATGTTATTCCTGATTGCTTTTTGATCTTTGTGGAAAAGTTCATATCTGTTCATAATTTGTCTATCAGCAGACTTAATGGTTCTAAAAAAATAAATTTTTATCTGAACTGATCTTGCAATCAACTTTTTCACTGGAAATATCATACATTTTTTATATCCTGTGACCTCAATCACTTGTTAATGAAGTTTTTTAATTATTTCCAGAGTATTTGTTTACAATATCAATAAACTAGCAATTTTTCAGAAAAAATGTGAAAAGCTTCAAATGTATGCAAATTTTTGAGCTCATTAAAATTCATTAATCTTTAAAATCAATTAAAGTACATTAATTAAATACCAATGTTTGTTTAAAACATAACAGTAAACATAAAAGCCTTTTAATTTGTATAAAATATGTTGGATTTAGTGAAGTAAGTGCTGATCTAGCCTGTCTGCAAATTTTTGGATGCTACTGTATGTATGTATGTATGTATGTATGTATGTATGTATGTATGTATGTATGTATGTATGTATATATAAATATATATATACATATATATATATATTTCGGTAGACAGTGCTCAATACAAAAGTAGAGCAAATATATTATATTATATTAAAATAATGATAAAATACAATTAAATTTGTAACATAACTCAGTTTCACGCTTCATGCAATCATCAGACGTACAAACACCGGAATGTCTGATGATCGCATAAAGTGTGAAACTCTGAGTTATGTTACAAATTTAATTATTTTATTATTATTTTAATGTAATATTATATATATATATATATATATATATATATATATATATATATATATATATATATATATATATATATATATATATAATATTACATTGAAATAATAACTTAAAAAAAAGTTTGCACACCTAAAACACCTGTGACACACACCTGATTATACCATTATATATAACAAAAAAAACTCACTTTATATCTGGTATAGATAACTCAATCCAATGCATCTTTGCAAGTGCCATCTCTCCTCGCAAAACATTGTTTACGTCCTTAAACCATTCATTTACTTTATGGACATCCATAAACTTAATAAAAAATAATTAGAAGTTAAAATTATCTATAAATACTCACTGTACTCTTATCTGTAAAGTGTCTGTTAAAGTTTTAAAAAAAGTTAAAGTGCTGAAAAAAAGGTTTTGAAAAAGGGTTCTTATTTTAGTTCTGTTTCTTATTACACTTTATTATTTGTTTTGATAATTGTTTAATTAGTCAACATCCAAATAAATTCATGCTATGTTTAAAAATGTTTTTATATTTAATACTTATTTGATTTACATTAACAATAAAATATATATAGTTATAAAAAATTAACTAATACATACCTTGTAAGATCTTTTAAGTGTGGTGACAAGACCACATATTTGACCAATCACAGTAATATCATGTTGCATATCATTAATTCTTTCAGAAGTAGGACAGTTTGCTATTAAAATTAAAAATTTTTTAAAACAATAATACTATTTCTTTATTATTATTACAAAATAAATGTAAATAGTGTTTTTGTGTTTATAAATAACAAATATATAATAAATATATAAAAATAATTACTGCATACTTTATATATTGTAAATATATTTATATACTTAAAATTGTTTAAGCAATTCTTAACATGCATTAATTTAGATAATTATAATTTTAAGTTAACCAGATAAACCATTCATGTTTTAAATTATTTCAGTACCAAAATTGCCTTTGCTCTTTGGTCCTAATATAGGCGAATTTTTAAAATTTATCTCTCCCATATAAGATGTGATTATTTCAAATTTGTAAAATTCAATAAACATTAAACTTTTAACTAAGGGACAAGAAAAATCATATTTAACCATATAAGATATTGTTAAAAATGAAAATCACATTCTCTTTATGTTAATCAACTGAAACTTACATTGGCATCAGGTCTTAAGCTAAACACCATCTTTGATTATCAGTACCTTTTAATTTAAAATTTGTTAAAGATTTTTGATATTATCAGCATCTTCATTATTATCATCACCTGTTTGGTTTTATCAAGTTTACAAGGGTATTTATGTTTGGTCTCATCAAGTTTAAAAGGATATTTATGTTTGGTCTCATCAAGTTTATAAGAATATTTATGTTTGGTCTCATCAAGTTTATAAGGATATTTATGTTTTGTCTCATCGAGTTTATAAGGATATTTATGTTTGGTCTCATCAAGTTAATAAGGATATTTATGTTTGGTCTCATCAAGTTTATAAGGATATTTATGTTTAGTCTAATCAGGTTAAACACCTCAATTATTTAAAGGCATTCTTTAGTTCTTTAGGCTAATGAAAAAATGAACCAGTCATCATATTATACCAAGTTTTGGTAATCCAAGACATTTTAGATAATAGCTATTAAAAACTAATCAAATACAATGTATGAAAAGCTGTTTAAGTGCAATTGATTTCAAATAATTTAATAAATAACAAATATATGTTAGTATTTTATATATATATACATTAAGTTTAAATAACAAAGAAAAAAAGAGTTAGAATCTGTTGTACACGCAGTAGTCGACAGCATTGGAGATCAACCTTTTACATTTTTGCATACTTTTTCACAAATTTTGTTATTTATTTCTCCTAGCACTTGATTAATTAATCACAAGTCTGCTGGAATAGAAAGTTCAGGTTAACAAACCAGCCACCACTTAATTGGACCTTGTTCATTGTTAAGAAACTTTTTATCTAGCAAATTTCTCACCTCAAAATAACAGTGAAGTGATGCACCATCTTGTTTAAAATCCATACACTGAAATTATACATACACTGAAATTTTACTTAAAGCCATAAAAAGTTGCTTAGAGCTTGCAAACTAACTTTGTTAACTTAAATATCAAAAAAGTATTGATCAATGAGACCACTTCAAGTAATCCCACATCATAACATTATTCTTTGTCTTGCGCTGGTTATCAGGAAACTGTGTTAGAGTAAGCCCAATAGGTTTAATTATGATAATAAATTAATATGATAAAAACTAAATAAAGATATTATTAAATTGGCTTAAACAAATGATGCTTAGAAAGATGATTAGTTAGGTCTACATATTTACATTAAATACTTAGATATTATTTGTAAACATGTCAAGTCTAAACTATAACCATGTGAACAATTAAAGCTTTCAGTTATGCAGATCTTTATATGATACTTTTTAATATAAAAGTGCCAGTTTTTTTAACCAGTTGCACAACGTCTGGGAAATTTTCTTTAATATCTGATAAACACCTAAAGCATTGTAAAAAGGTCATCAATTATCAAAAGTGAACACTACTCAGAATCAATCGCCAGTCTGAGTTAATTTCTGAACCTTGATTGGACATAACTTTTGTGTGGGCTTTACTTTATCTTTGTCTGCAGCAGATATAAATGTCTATTTCTTCACTTATGCTTTATGCCTCACTTATGTGCTGACAAGCTATACTTTGATCCACTTGGAGATAATGGAACCCTAAAAATAAAATGAAGTTGGCTACGTGCTTTGTCATTGTCATTTGGTATATTGTGTTATGTCATGCGTCATTTGGCTACATGTTGTATCATGCGTCATTTAACTATGTGTTGAATGACTTACTGAACAGCACTGAATGGAATTAGTAGAAAATGCAGAGACTACCTTACCGTCTATCATAGTAAAATCAACTTTATGAAAGATAGTTAAAATTTTCAGTCTTAAACACAGCAGATAAAGTTAAGTTTCCAATGGCACTATTAAGAATTGATTCTCTGCATTCAAATAATCAGTTATTTCCTTCACAAACCTAAGGGCATGACTGTTGTTTCTTTCACAAACTTAAAGGGCAGTAAAAATTTCTCGTCACCAAAGAATCAAACAAACTCAAGTGAAGCAACAGGTAAGAAACTAGCCTTTAAACAAAGCTCTTATTTTTCAGCTTGTTAGTAACTTGTACCTAAATAATGTTTGTAACTTGTACCTAAATAATGTTAGTAACTTGTACCTAAATAATGTTTGTAACTTGTACCTAAATAATGTTAGTAATTTGTACCTAAATAATGTTAGTAACTTGACCTAAATAATGTTAGTAACTTGTACCTAAATAATGTTAGTAACTTGTACCTATATAATGTTAGTAACTTGTACCTAAATAATGTAAGTAACTTGTACCTAAATAATGTTAGTAACTTGTATCTAAATGCTTTGCATAGTTATCATAACCTATTTTTGAGCACATAGTCAACCTAAGCTAAAAAATCAACAAAATCATGTCAGACTTCAAACAGCTGAAACAAAGTATGATCAAGCAAAACCTAAAGATTTTTTGCAAAGAGTAATCTGTTGTTGGCCTTGATTCACTAAGAAAACACCTCTCACCTCTTTCATACATGATTGTAATGTGGGTCTAAATTGCTGCTTTTGTATCATTTCTTAAGTGCTTATAGTGGCACACACATATTTATATATATATATGGCATAGCAGCAAAAGATGAACTTTTACTTGTATTAACTTAAAATAATAATAAATGTTTTCAAATCCAAAAAAAAATCCCCTACCAGTACAGATGAAAATCTAAAAATGTAAAAAAATCAAGTTTTTGAATTTATAGTAGGGGCAGGGTCATTTAACAAAATTTCAAAAATACCACGAGAGTTATTTTTGTAGCTTGATCTATCTACTTTTAGATTATGTTTTGTTTTTTGGTAAAAATTATGGGAAGAGTTGATCTTATATTTGAGAGCGCATATAGTGTATATTTGAGAGGTTAGAGGGGGGGCATTTTTAATTTCTTTGTCATGTACTTTAAATATAAAACATTTTGTAATAGTACATTTTTTATTTAAAGAAAGACTATTTCATGGTTTTTTATCCAAGATTTTTAATTAGTTGTTTTAAATTTTAAACTATGAAGCTACAATCATTAAGTTTGCTTTTCCGTCTTCTTTTGTTTCTAAACATTTCAATGGGTTGTTGAGAGTTGGAGGAGGGAGAGGAGAGGGGGAGGAGTCACAATGTCAACAAGTAATTGTTAAAACAAATTATCTCATTCTGAAACTTTTCATGTTTGAAAAACAATTAAAATCATATATAACACATTGCACATAATACATAACCAATAACACCTGCTTATTAAGAAAACTGTATTACAGAGGTTATACTATTTGTTAATTTTCCATACATTTCTCTGCAATTAATATAGCTTCATGTCTAAATGCAATTAATATAGCTGTCTCATGGTAAAAAAAATTTACCATGCACACTTTATTAAATGAAGAAAATACTGACTAACATATCAGATGTTGCTAGCTTTTACTAGAAGCTATATATATATATATATATATATATATATATATATATATATATATATATATATATATATATATATATATATATATATATATATATATATATATATATATATATATATATATAAATTAAAAAACACTTATCTAACTTTCTTCAACAAGTTGTTTTGCCAGCTGTAGGCTCATCAGGAAGCTTCCAGATTTACTGATGAGCATGATGAAATTAACTTGATGAAGAAAATTAAATATATTGTATGTTGATAAAAAACTGTATTTTATTTCTTAATTTTAATCAAGCAACTTTATAAAAGCAGATAATAAAGTAACAGTAAAATAATTTAAAATGTGCAATACTTAACATAAATATTATTTTATTTTTCATATTATAACTATTTTTTTTAAATTTGCATAAACCTCCACTTTAACTAAATAATTTGTATAATAACTCACTTTTTAATTTATAATAATCTTCATTTCAATAACAGTATTTTTCTAAAAATTGAGTTTTTTTTATTGAAAATAAGAGTTGTAATACTTTAAAACCATTGAAAAAATTTTAGTAGCTATACTTTCGTCACAAGCCTATTGTGGATTTTTAAAAAAAAAAAAAATCTATTTTAAGATTCAGTCAATATTTTTATCATATGATGTAATATTTATTTATATAAATTTACAACTGTTTATATGTTTATGTTGTTATATACATTAATATATATTTATAAGTGTATATGAATAAATATTTATTAATAAGTATAATTATTAAATTCAAATAACAAGGACTAACAATAATATTAGGTATAGTTTTTTATAAAAAAATTTTTTATAAGCAAATTTTATTAATAAAAACAATAAGAACAAAAAATATAAATCATTGATCTTTTTTCTAGCTATAAATACTTACAAAAAATAGATTGCTTATTAAAATTCTTGTTTTGTATCATGCTTAAAGAGACACCTTTTCCTTCTTGAGTTACATCAACATCAATAATTGGCACACACCATTTGACTTCGTATCTTTTGCTGGACATTCTCTTTAATTTTTGGTGTCTCAAAGTAAAGTTTATTTAATATTAATTTTTTACAAATAATAATTTGTTCCTAAATACTCTTTTGTTAAAACCTTGAAAAAAAGATCATTTTTTAACTTACTTATGTAAAAGACTTGCACATACCAACATGTCACTTAACATAAACAATTGGCGATGTTTTGCCTTTACTATACTTCCATCTTTAATAACCTGGCAACATTAAAATAACCTGGCAACATTAAAATAGAAAAGACAAAATTCATTGTATGGAAATTTTTATTTTATTGCCGACAAATATAAAAGCAATATATCTTACACATTGTATCATATTATCTTGTCGCACAAAATATCTTTTACTTGATGCAAATGACTTGATAAAAAAATTTAAAAAATCATGAAAAAAAAAAAAAAAATCAACAACAACAACAATAATAATAATAGAGATAATAACAATAATATTATTAGTAACAACAATAATAACAAAAGTTAACTCATTAAATTAAAACAAAATTTATTTAAAAGAAATAATAAGTTAAAAATAAAGGATAAAAATAGGTTTAAAACCTTTGAAAGGCCAATACAGTGCATATCAAGTTGCTTCACTTTATGTTTCAATAAAGTATCTCTTCTTTTTTCTGCTAGAGTTTCAGACAAACATTCTAGCTGTGTTAAAGACATTTGCAATGCCAGCCTATCTGAATGTGGAAATGGAGTAACTTTCATAAGGGCTTGAACCAAGACAACAAGCTGTGGAATAACCATCAATGGTTGCCTCATTAAATGGTATAAAGACTGGTGATTATGGAGATAATGACGATACTAAAAGTTAATTTAAAAGTTTTTAAAAATAAATTTAAACTTATAACACTTATATAAATAAAACAGAAATTAATTTTTAGGAGCAGGTAAGAATTTAGGTAAGAATTTAATTTTATTTTAAAATTTAAATTTAATTTTATTTTAAAATTTAATTTTAAAAATAATTTAAAAAAGCAAGTAAGAATTTAGGATTATTTAGAGCAGATGTGGCTTGTTAGCTATGGCAAAAACAACTTATCTTAGAGAAGACTCTGACATAAAACCTCTAATTTGACTGTGGGTATGGGTAAGAAGAGCTCACAAACCTAAATTCTCTTGTAATGGCTTCATACTAAATTACTCAGACCTGATCTGCAACAGGTCAACACCAGGAAGAACCTCCATTTATAAAGCATTACCTGAACTTTCCATATTGTCATATTTAAATAAAAATTTTTTTATTTCAAACATACATATCTATACACACATATATACTACACTATTACTAAATTATCTGAAGTATAGAAGTTAAAAAAGGACCAATATTTAAATTTAAAAAATGCAGAACATTGCAAATCTTACAATTTACAACCAAACAATGTTTTGATAAAATCTAATAATAACTAAAAAAATTAGTTTCAACAATTATCTTTATAGGATTTTTTCCTTTGTACTGTAATATTGAATATTTTTTGTGCTATAATTGACTATAATACTGTATGAATTTTGGGATCACAATTTTTGGAAAACAAAAAGTTATAACACAGAAAAATATATTAGTACTGTAAGATCCAATTAGAATTAAGTAGTGAAATATTATAGCCTTAAGTTCTACATCTTCCCTGATGCACCTAATTTGATGCACTCACTATTTCTTGATGTTAAAAGTGGAGAACCTTACTCTTATTTGTAATACCTTATAATAGAACCTCATTTTTATTAATACCTTATAAAAGAACCTCATAATGCTGTTGTAGACTAATGGTAAAACATTTGGCTAACAACTGAGATTCAAATCCATCTTTGAAATACCCCATTTAACATTTCTTCACATAATGTTAAACACTATGTGAAGAAATGTTAAAAATCAGAGTTTGGGGTTAAGAGAGTTGCATATAATATATATATATATATATATATATATATATATATATATATATATATATATATACACACACACACACACACATATATATATATATATATATATATATATATATATATATATATATATATATATATATATATATATATATATATATATATATATATATATATATATATATATATTAGGGTGGGTCATAAAACTTTTTTTTAAAGTTGCTAACCTGGCACTGGCATAGAAAGTTGTTTTTTTATGTACTAATTTAGGAAAGTATTTACTTTTATGGATTGAACAATGTCTTTCACCCGCAACTTTAATTACAAAAATCACCAGGGCCTATTATTATTCAAAAAAAGTTTTTCAAAACTATGTGACGTTGGTACTCAAATAAAGCTAAATTTTATAAAAATTTCAAAAATTTTTTTTTTATAAAAACTTCAAAATTTTTTTTTTGATTTTATTGTATAATAACTATGGTTTTTTTTACCTAAGAATGAAAAAAGTGCATTTTTACAAGTTTTTTTATAACATTTTTTTTCGGCTATATATATGTATATATATATATATATATATATATATATATATATATATATATATATATATATATATATATATATATATATATATATATATATATATATATATATATACATATATATTTATATTTATTTATGCTATATATATATAATATATATTTATGCTACCCACAAACACATTTTCTTTTCAAATATATATATATATATATTTATATTTCAAATATATATATATATATATCTTTTCAAATATATATATATATATATATATATATATATTTCAAATATATATATATATATATATTTATGCTACCCACAAACACATTTTCTTTTCAAAAAATCACTATAGAACTTGCTGTAAACAATAAATATTGGATTTATTACTCCTTTTCATGGTCTAAAACCAAACTGCATATTTTTTATAAATAGACAACTTTTTATTTTGTTGGCAATAATTCTAAAAATCTATAATCTTCATTACCTGGTAAGCAACTTTATTCCTCAATATGAGCCACATTCTAGCGCCTCTCTATCTCCTTTATATGTATCCTTAAAAGTTTACCATTCAACTTGTCTTCTAATCATTTGGAAATTTACCTTTTTGTACAATTACATGTAAAAATCTGACACCTATTAAACACTTACACCTAATAAAGCATACAACAACTCAGGAACTATATCAGAAGGACCTTTATCCTTGCTAAACTGAGCCCTCTAAACAATTAAACTCTCATCACTAAGGTAGTCATCAAATAAAATTCTGCTTATATAATTGTGCTTTGTAATAGTATGCTATGTCTTGCACTATACCAAGGAATGCAAGAGTAATTTTTAATCTCATACTTTTTGGATAGTTTTAAAATTTCTTTTTTTTTCACAATTTAACCAACTTCTGATTTTTTTTTGTACACTATGTATTTCAATATGAATTCAATTCAATATGAATAAGAAACTATGACTTTCAATCTCATATGAACCTACACTGACTGACCCAATGTTGAATCACACATTTTTGTTACACTGACGCTTACCAGCTACTTACCTACTACAAGGTGGTCAATTGGTGTTATAACTAATTCTTGTACCTGTAACACATTTGCCACTGCCAAAATAATTTATTTCTGACTTGTGACTTATCAGAAACCAACACTTATCAGGTGCACCTTTGGTTAGGATCTTGTATTTTTATGGTGATGCCATCACAATGAAGATTATCCAAGATTATCAAGTTACATCTTCTTTAAGTTGGAATATATCAGAATTTTTCTTCTTCTACGTAAGTCACAACAACTAAGAGGCCTGTGATTATATAGCCTGATAAAACATTAACGGATATATTTATATGGAGCACAACTTATTGTGAAATTATAAAGTGAATAAATTTAATGTTACTTTGCACGCTAAGACATCATTAAGCTAAAATACGACATTTTTTCTTATTTTATTTTATAAAAAAATACCTTGTAGTGGTTTATTTATTTTTAAGAAACACATTTTAATATAATATTAAACACAATTTTCTATTAGGAAAATACTGAGTGCTCAATAAATCATGGATATAAAAATGATTATTAAAACCACAATTAAGCCTTCTTTTTTTTAACATGATTTGATATTATTTTGCATAATGCGTTGGCATATTAAAATACAACTTAAACTTTAACTTTTTATTAGTAACTTTAATATAGTTATTAATATTTTTAAGTCAATAATTTTATGCAATTAATACTGAATTATATCTTAGGTCAAACATTATTAAAACAACCAATAACTTTTATCACTAATAGAAAATTGGACAAAAGTAAAAGTAAAATTTTTAACTTTAGGTTAACGAGGATAAACTTTAAAATATACTTTAAAATGTGCTACAAACCATAACCTTTTTCAAAATCAAGTATGTGACTAGAATAATTTTAATTAAAAAATCATTAACACAAAAAAATAATCAATTCTTATAAATGCAACATCAACAAACAAAAGTAAATTTTAACTGTTATAAAGTAATCTCTCCTGAGATAACCAAAAGATTTATTATTAATCAAATTCATACATGCAATCAGTATGATACAAACATCAACATGAGGTTAATATGTAAAATACCTTCAAAAAATTTAGAAAACTTGGAACAAGCCTGCATGTTTCTTTAATGCTATCCATTGCATTATGAAAATGACATACAAATGAACTATAAGCCTTAAGCACCAGAGATTTTGAAAACTAAATAAAATATGTAAGTAAAATAAAAAAAAATTATATAAGTAAACCATTCAAACAACTAAAAAAATAACTAAAAAATAAATAAACATTTTTAGAAAAGGATGAGATATAATGGGAAAAAGGAGGAATTTTTAACAACTAGTATTTTAAGTATTTACAACTATTTATTATAACTATCAAATAAATATAAAAATTTAAAAATGTTATTTATAGTTAGAAGCAAGCTACTTATCTTAAAGTTAGAAGCAAGCTACTTATCTTAAAGTTAGAAGCAAGCTACTTATCTTAAAGTTAAAAGCAAGCTACTTATCTTAAAGTTAGAAGCAAGCTACTTATCTTAAAGTTAGAAGCAAGCTACTTATCTTAAAAATTACTTAATCTTAAAAATTACTTAATGAAATAAATTATTTTTATAATCAAAATGTTATTTATGCACAGCAAACAAAACTAATAATAATCAGATTGGGTTAGATCTAGCGAATTTGGTAAAAATTCACTGGATTTAACTCTATATCCATATTTGACCGCAATATCTCCAAAAGAGAATATATCCCAGCCAAATTCTAATAATATTTGCCAAGTCAATTTTGCAACATGCAGTTGAAGTTTGTCATGGAGAAACCAAATTTTGCGATACTTAGAAGAATTTTTTAAGAGTTTTTGCTTAAAGAGATCTTGAAGTGCAGAGACAAGTTGAAGTGCAGAGACAAGTTGTGAGTTAATTAAACTTACGAAAACAAATTATTTTTCAAGATACTAACAAAAAAATTCACCTTCTTATTTCTGTGTCTAAGTCTTATATTAGGCATAGTTTCATTTTTTTAAATAAAATTTCTGATTTGCTTAATTAATGGTGTACATTATAAAGTATTTCAGTTCTCAGGTGTCACTTTTGAGTTCTCAGATGTCACATTTGACAAAATGGAAAATGTAAATTAACTTTGATCTGGCATTTTATAACTACTTTTATTGAAAAAAACAACAAACAAACAAAAAAAAACTGTTTTTTTCATTAAAAAATTTAGGCAAAATTTTTTCACTTAAGGTGAGTTTTCACTCATCCGTTTATCTATGGGAAAGGAAAGGGAAACTTTAGGAAAATTAATCACAGCATGAACAGTTTCCTTTCGGACAAATAAAAACTTTTATTACGTATGCTCACATGATTATTTTTTCCTTTCCTATCCTGTTCCCGTAGAAAAACGGATGAGTGGAAACTCGCCTTTAGTCCCAAAAATATTACATTCAGATTTAATTAGAGAGACTTATTTTAAACGTCTCAAAGTCGTATTCACTTCTCTCCGTTGAGTGTTTAATTAGAACAACTTGTTTTAAACATCTCACAGTTGTAATTACTTATCTCCGTTAAGTGCTTTATTAGAGCGACTTGTTTTAAACAATTCACAATCATATTCACTTCTTTCCATTAAGTGTTTTCAAAACTTTTTATAATTAAAATTTTTTTTTTTTTAATGATAACAAGTTATAATTGAAGTTCTTTTTTTTTTTTTAAAAAGTTTTTTTATACATATTAAAAATAGGAAAAACACAACGTATGTTGACACTTACTACCCATAATATTTTATACATATTAAAAATAGGAAAAACACAACGTATGTTGACACCCATAATAGTGAATCTAAAGAACACTATTTTGGAATCTTTAGATTAATTCTGCTCATCCGCATTAACATGAATTAAGTTGAAACCCTTTGAAAAAGTTCTTTAATTTACTACTGATCCTAGTTCTAATCAGTTCTGACATATATTAACTATATATAGTTGTCAAAACACAATATTTCTAACAATTTTCACATAAAATACTAGAATTCCGACTGAGAAAGAGCTTATAATTCTGAAAAATCGCCAATAAATGATCAGAACAGATTATTTTGTTAAACTATAATGTTCATTTCACCTAAAAAACGTATTAATATAAAACCTTGATTTTACATTAATATGTTTTTTTCTTTAAATTTGGAGAAATTCTAGTATCAAAAAATACTAGAATTCCTCTAAATTTAAATTTGGAGGAGCGATAGTGATTTTAAGATAATTAAAAAAAAACAACTTAGGTCTGGGTTTTTTCGCTACAAACATTTATATTTTATGATTCTGTTAAATTTATCATTTTAATATTTTTCGTCTTTTCATAATTCATAGACCAGACCATTAAACGGGAATAAGTCATAGTCAAAAAAATATCATGTTGATGCTATAATATTTTAAAAGTGCCTTAACTACACCGAGTTCTGCAAAACAATCTGAATAACAATTTTAAATAACAAATTTATGTCAAAGACCAAAAGTTTGAGAAAACAATAAAGTAACAAAGACTTGATGTAAGAAAATTTGAATAAACAGAGCCTGAACTAGTTTTATAGCCAATTGGTTTTTCTCAAAAAAAAAAACTTTAACATACTGATGCATATATTATATCACCAATTGCATCTGAATTCTGCCAGTTATTTGCACGATCACTCAAAGCCATATTAAACAGTTGATGGCATTGATAAATTTCACGAACATGTTTAAATATTACTTTGATTCGATCCAAACCAATAATTCTGTTTTCTTTGAGTGGCTCTTCGTACTCCTACCATAAAATCAACAATTTTTTTAGATGTAATTTTTTAATACATTGAAAGAAATTAAAAAAATAAATAAATCGAAATATCTCACCAATATAAGCTTGCTTAAATTTTTCATATAAATACGTTCATTATCCAAAATACATTTTATGATTGTATAACGTTTTATCTGTTAAAAAAAAAGATTACAAAAAGCTTTCATCAACAAAAAACTGTTAATATTATTAATACTAAATTATATTAAAAATAAATTAATACTAAATTATGATCAAAAATAATAATACTTTATTATAATAAAAAAATACACAGCTATATTACTTGATTTTCATCTGCATTTTCTATTATTGGTGGAAGAGTAGCAGGTTCTTCATTTGTGTAAATTGGTATATACGCTTCTCTATCATGATCTAATAAAAAAAAGTTTAATTATGTATATGGGAATGTATCAAAACTTTATAAAAATGTTTTATTGCGTAATTAAAATAAGCGAAGCTCATTAGCAACAACAAAAGCAACTTACCTAGGAAGAAATGTTGATATGTACCTCCTGATTTATTAATAGTTAAAAATAGTAGGACCTTATATGAATCTATATAAGTCTTATTTTATTTATTTATTATTGGTTATCTTTCTAGTAGTGCAATCATAATAAAAGTTCTTATTTAAGATTGACAATGTAAGTTAACACTAAGAAAAAATCTGTTTGCAAAAAATTTCTGTAACACTTCTATGATATATATAAATAAGAAAATAACATCTACCCAAACAAGTTTAGACACCATGGGCACTGAAGTTTGAACAAACCAAAAAATTAGGATATTATATTACATTTTGCATTATATTAACCATTAAAAATTTGCTCTCTTGATAAAAAGAGAAAGAAAAAGCCTTTAGCTTAAATTAGGATGAACTTTTACTATGAAATTAATTTTTGAGATTAAATTTTGAAATAAAATTTACTCTAACACATCTAAAATGCAATTTTGCTTATATATATGTTCTGAAATATATATATAAAGCGATTTGACTAGTTTTATTTGACACAATTTAAAAGAGTACTTTTTCAAATCTCCCAAATTTAATTCAAAAGAGATTTGAAAAAGATTTTGGCAATGTTTTTTCATTATATTTAATTTTTATGTAGCAAGTTTTAGTGTCGCCCTAGAAAACTTTGCCACCCTAGGCCTAGCTTGTCTAGCAGTTAAACCGGCCCTCTATATATATATATATATATATATATATATATATATATATATATATATATATATATATATATATATATATATATATATATATATATATATATATATATATATATATATATATATATACATATATATATATATATATATATATATATATATATATATATATATATATATATATATATATATATATATATATGTATGTATATATATATATATATATATATATATACAAATATATATATAAATATATATACAAATATATATAAATATATACATATATATATATAATATATATACATAAATATATATATATATATATATATATATATATATATTTATATATATATATATATATATATATATATATATGTATATATATATATATATATATATATATATATATACACAAATATATATATATATATAAATTTATATATATATATATATATATATATATATATATATATATATATATATATATATATACAAATATATATATATATATAAATATTTATATAAATATATAAATATTTTATATATATATATAAATATATATATGTGTGTGTGTGTGTGTGTGTGTGTGTCTGTGTGTGTGTGTATATATATATATATATATATATATATATATATATATATATATATATATAAATAAAAGGTTAGATGAGAAAAACAAATTACAGAAATGCTAGCTTTTGAGAACGAACTCATTGATCTTGTAAAACACATTAAGTTTCGAAAGGTACAAAGCAATTTTCAAAATAAACTAAAACAAGATATAAATATTATTCGAAAATCTAATCAAACTTATACGTATGCTGATAAAACATCTAATCTTTACAAATTATCTAAAAATGATTACAACCACTTGTTAAGAAATGCCATCACTTCAAATTACAAATTATCTAACTCAAATATAATAAATAAAGTAAACATAGAAGGTAAACGTCTTTTGAAAATCATGAAGTTTTCGATAAAATTGATATTAATACAGCTTCCAATTGTTTTATCACCTTTAAAGACCATAAAGATAATTTTGAAAACAATCCGACTGTCCGTTTATTGAATCCTGCTAAAAATGAGGTTGGTAGAATTAGCAAGGATGTTCTTTCTAAAATTAATACAGACCTAAGAAGTATATTACAATTAAACCAATGGAAAAACACTCAAAATGCTATCGATTGGTTTAAAGCCATAACATAAACACCTTTATAAATTTTTAATTTTTGATATCATTGACTTCTACCCTTCTATTAGTGAAACACCTCTAAAAAACTCTATCAGCTTTTGACGGTGCAGAGGTTTGTGAGCTTGTAGGAATATTTCTTCTTTTCGAAATTTCAAAATTTTATAACAAGTTTGAGGTTGGTTTATACCGTGACGATGGATTAGCAGTTTTTAGGAATAAAAGCGGCCCTCAAATGGAAAAAATAAAAAAGCATCTTTCCGAAATATTTAAATACAATGGCTTACGGATTTCTATACAATGCAACATGAAAATTGTCAACTACCTCGACGTCACTCTAAATCTTAGTGAGTGCACATTTAAACCTTATCTCAAACCTGATAATACATTAAATTATATCCATGCTGATTCAAATCACCCTCCAAGTATACTAAAACAAATACCACACTCAGTTGAACTTAGATTATCTACAAATTCTTCTACCAAAGAAATATTTCAACATGCTGTTCCTCTATATAATGAGGCTTTATTAAAGTCTGGTTTCAAATGTAATCTAACATATAATCCTAAAGCAATATCAACTAAAAAACGGAACAGAGCACGCAACATCATTTGGTTTAATCCTCCATTTAGCAAAAATGTTAGCACCAACGTGGGAAAATGTTTTTTGAAATTAATTGGCAAACATTTTCCTAATAATAACAAACTACATAAAATCTTTAACAGGAACACAGTCAAAGTTAGCTACAGTTGTATGCCAAGTGTGAAATCGATCATAAATTCGCACAACAAATACATTTTATACAACGATACAAACTCTAATCAAGAAAATTGTAACTGCTTAGACAAAAATTTCTGCCCGTTGTCCAATAGATGTTTAACAAGCAACATTGTATACCAAGCAACTGTAACCACCACTAATGATTCATCTCCTAATGAAAAATCCTACATCGGTGTAAGTGGGGCTTCTTTTAAATTGAGATACGCTAACCACGTTAAATCTTTTAACATCTCAAAATACAAAAATGATACTGAGCTGTCAAAGCAGGTATGGAAAATAAAAGAAGCCAATTTAGTTCCTATAGTTAAGTGGAAAATTCTCAGGCGATGTAAAGCATATAATCCTACATCCAAATCTTGTAAATTATGTCTCACCAAAAAATATGAAATCCTAAATTATAAAAATACTAATCTACTAAATAAAAGGAGTGAGATTGTTTCTAAGTGCAGACATAGAAACAGATTCCTCCTTTCTCAATTTGACACTGGCGATTAGAATAGATGTTTTTTCCATAATATTATTATTATTATTGCTATTATTATTATTATTATTATTATTGTTATTATTATCATTATTATTATTATTGCTATTATTTGTATTATAATTATTTGACGTCAGAACTCATTCCATTGTTTTTTTTGAATTTTGTAATGGTTTTTTAATTGTATTTTTGAATGGTTTTTTTTTAATTTAAATATATGTCTGATGAGTGCCAAAAACGGCATGAAACTTTAAGTACCGTAAAAAAGTTGTTTTTTCTCATCTTACCTTTTATTTATTTATTGACCTATTTTGTGATTATTTCACTTTATATTGATCACTCTCAAATCGAAAAAGAGTTGATTATTATCAAATAATCAAAACAACAATATATATATCTGTGTGTGTGTGTGTGTGTGTGTGTGTGTGTGTGTGTGTGTGTGTGTGTGTGTGTGTGTGTGTGTGTGTGTGTGTGTGTGTGTGTGTGTGTGTGTGTGTATATATATATATATATATATATATATATATATATATATATATATATATATATATATATATATATATACACACACACACACACACATTAAATATTTAATAGAATTTTCTATTAAATATTTAGAGATGTGTTTAATACAACTGTAAATATTCAATAGAACAAAATTAAGTATTTCTATATTTTTACTAGTTTAGTACTGTTATGAAGGTCTCAAACAGAAACTACTTAAGCGGAACATTTTAACTTAACAAAGTGTGTAGCTTTTGGCATAAACATTGTTTATGAACCAACCTGTTTTTTAACGTAGACACATCTAACATCTGCTTAAGATATAAAAGCGGGAAGAAGATGAGACAGAAAGATGAGACAGAAAGAAGTTGGAATGTAATTGGAATATAGTTGAGATATAGCTAAGGATATATTTAAAGTAGAAAGAAAGTCTTGGTCAAAGTCAGGATCGAAGTCGAAGTCGAAGTTGAGATCATTGGTCAGTCAGAAGAATTAATGAACCATAAACAATAACAGACTAATTAATAATTAATTAGTCTGTTATTATTAATGAACCATAAAAAATAACAGACTAACTAATAATTAATAGACAAACTGTTTAAGGAATATTATAAACTGTATTTGTATATGTTAATCAGTTATACTTTATATTTAAATGAAAGTTACCGTGTAACAGTTGGAGTAATCTACTATGCAACCTTTAATATTAATTACCCGCGTAACATTTAGGAGGCACTGCCCGGATACAAGTGGATTCTATCTCTGCTTGTGCCGATCAATTTACCTATAGAAGAAAATATTAACTTTTGTTCATTGCTTTATTTTGTTTGCATTATATTACTTGAGTGAAACCGTAACAAGTAGAACGCTTGGCAACAAAACCTATTCAGGAATTGCAACCTAAACCTTTCAAAGGTACAGAGACAGAAGACATCAGCGAATGGCTAACCAGTTTCTGTTGCATAGCACTCCACAACCAATGGACAGACATGAGGAAATTAATTGTACTTCAATTATATTTAGAAGGTAGTGCTTTAGTGTACTATAAAACCCGTCCTGCTCAAATTAAGAATGATTTTTACCAGCTTTAAGAACAATTATGACAATACTATGACAATGCAAATATTGCATGGAGCTGAATGGAATTATTTGGTTTAACGCAAGATGCTGACCTTACCTCCTTTATTAACACCCTAGATAAACAGTCAGAACAGATAACTAGATAAGTCAGCAGCACAATATAGATGTCG